TAACCGCCCTGTTAGCCACCGCAGCCAACGTTGCTGCGGCAGAGAGGTACGGCATAGAGTATCAAGACGTCCAAGTCAACACCGACGCCGCGACGCTTTTCCTGGAATCCGTTCTGCTGCCAACAGTCGGCGGCAAGCAGTTTCTTCAGGACCCGCAGATGGCGGCTGAGATTGCCAAGATGGACATACACCAGTCCTCAAAGCCCATTAGGCGGTACGCAACAAATGTCTACAAAACCAAGGACGGCAGATGGTACCACCTGCACGGGTCGATGAACGCGGGGCCAACAATGGAGATGTTGGGTGTCGAAGATGTCGACGTGACCCCCGAAGAAGCCATCAAGATCTACGCCGAGAAAGTCGCACATTGGCATTCAAAAGAAATCGAAGAGGTCGCCAACGAGAAGTACTATCAAGCAGGTGTCGTGTGCCACACGCCGGAAGAGTTCTTCTACAGCGAGCAAGGGAAGATCATGTCCAAGGAGCCACTATGGACCATGACCCGTGTGCCCGCTCCGCGGAAAGAGTGGCCGAAAGCGCGAGATGATCAGGGTTTCAAGCCGCTTGCTGGCATCAGAATTATTGACTTTTCCCGGGTGATTGCGGCCCCAGCGGTGTCCAAGATGTTGAGCGTCCTCGGAGCCGATGTTCTCCGCGTGTCATGCGACAAGCTGCCCGACTTCGGTGCGACGATGCCGGACTTGCAGACGGGGAAACGGGACACCAACATTGACCTCAAGACGGAGGATGGCAAGAGTGCTTTTGCTGAGCTCGTAAAGGGTGCTGATATCCTGGTGGATGGATATCGCCCAGGTGCTTTAAAGAGACTAGGATTCGATACGACCTCCTTACGCGAGTTGAATCCCAGCTTGATCTACATGCGAGAGAATTGTTACGGATTCAAGGGACCTCTGGCTCACCGATCTGGATGGCAGCAGATTAGTGACTGCTTGGTTGGTCTTTCTCATCTGCAAGGCAAATTTCTCGGCGTAGATGAGGCTGTTGTCCCGCTTCTGCGTAAGTCATTCGGGCTCACCGGTGCACAACACATTTGCTGACGATTATCCAGCCAACTCTGATTACCAGACAGGCTTGGTCGGTGCTACTGCTGCCATCCAGGCCTTGATTGCCCGTACATCAGAGGATGTCACGTTTGATATCGATATCAGCTTGACACAGTACAACATTTGGTACTACAACCTAGGCCTTTACTCCGAAGAGCAGCAACGGGACCTTAGAGCCCGTGATCCCGACTTCAGCCCGCGGCATTATGACGACATGGGCACTCTGGTTGGTAAGACGCACCAGTCCTGGAAGAAAATTCGCCCCGACATCTTCACCCATCCCGAATACTTCTGGGACATGAGCGGACGGAACTACGGGCTCGAAGAGGACATCAGAGTTCTGGCTCCCGCGTTCAAGTTTGAGACGACTCAAATTGGGTGGGAGGAGCCGACAGGTCGAAGAGGAAGGTCGAAGCCCGAGTGGATCTCATGAATCTTGTTGTGTTTATCTTCGTCCTGAATGGCAAATAGCCTAGGGCACACTTTAGCTTATCAGATGAACATCGAAGTATCATCTCCCAAAAGATGTTCGAATCCCCAAGGAACACCCCAAGAATCGAGGGTGTTCTGGTCAAATGGCAGAGAGTTAGTTCCGTTGATCCCGTTGCTTAGGTTCAAAGTTGCTTCGTGATGAGTCTCGAGTAGGGGAGAAAGATCTGATAAAGCTACTCGAGAAGAGTCTCGCATGGTGTCCGAAGCGCTCTCTTGGTTGAATTGCTTGCCATGAGCGACAGTCTGGCCGCGGCCAAAGGTTGTATTCCCTGGTTGCGATGATGTGCTGTTGGACGTATTCAAGGCTTCTAGAGCAGCCCTGTACACATCCCGACACACAGTTCGTACCGGAGTCAAATATGAGCCAGGTTCAGAACGTTCGAGTAAGGCAAGACGCTTCAGAGCTTTTGAGACAGAATCGAGATCCTCGGCGACGTTCGGTGCGCGGGGTCGACGCAGAGTATAAAGGGACAAGATGAGGATGGCAGTGACACTGATCGGAATCACGTCCCTAAGAGGAAGAATTAGCAACTGTTTGTAAAGATTACATTGCGACATGGTTCGCAAAATGGGATTACTTACCAAGTCAAGCTTTTCCAGGTATCCGGGATGAGCAAATCCAGCTGGAAAATTGCTCTAGCAGCATCCACAGAGTTCTGAATAGATGTTGTGACCTGGCCTGATAAAACTGTAGATGATCGCTCCGGCGACGCCAACGACCTCCAGTCATATTCACTCTGTGCCCGATGAACCAGAATCACGCAATGCTGATAGGTGTAATTCAAGCGTAGAACAGAAGAGTAGTTGAGCAGCTCGGGAAGACTTTCAAGATCCAAGACTGTCGAAAAGTTCGCTCGCCAGTCATCCAAGTCCTGGTTTAGTGCTTGCGTAGCATCTGAAACGACATCTAAGTCAACCCCTTCTCCAAGATAAATCTTGGAATATAATCTAGCTTGGATGACAGCCAGGCGAGAAGCGGCTATGAAAATGTTGGCTAGCCCGTTGGAAGGAGCATGGGTGCTGAACTCATGCTGCAATAGTAAATCAGGCAAATCAACCTCAAAGCCACCGAAATCTTGCGCAGGAGGCCGCCCGGTCCGGAGACTCAACTCTCGGTCCAGAGAGAAAGCAAGCCAGAATACATTGGCTCTCGTCGCTTTCTCTATAGTGCTCAGCGACGAGCTGCACTCCTTTCTGTGTAACCCGATGGTGTGTGCAAGTCGAATGGCGTTGGCCACTAACATGAAGCTGGGCTGAGGATTGGGAGTACCCAGAAAAAACCACGCTAATATCAGCAGAGCTTGGACCGACATGACTTGAGTGGCCCTCATGAGTATGTCCAGAACCGTGTCGAGTGCGTTGGCCGCATAGCCCCAGGCCAGTTCCTTGTCGTCAGACTGTCCTTGTTCAACGCGTCTTCTTTGAGAAATTGCCAGGACGGCGTTGAGTGACGTCCACCAGGCAGGGCCGCCGTCAAAATTGCCAGAGTATTGTTGACCAAGCAGTGCGACAAAGGCAGGTGGGTGAAAGAGTGGTAAAGCCATGTACTTTTCCTCGAAGAAGGCCGTAACCAGTGAAAGAGCTTCGGGCCACGACGGCAGATGGCAGTGAATCCTTTTCTCAAAAACTCGTTGTAGTTTTGGATGCGTCCACAGAGACCAAGGCCCCGTTTTTGAGCCCGGCTGGATATTTTGACGGCGAGCCGATGTTGTTTGCTGATCGAACGGTGGTGGCTGAGTTCTGAATAATGCGATGGCGGAAGATGGGCCTAGAGGAAATCAGCTTGTGCATTTGCTTTGGAGTGTCTGTCGAGACGGCTCGTACCAAAATATCGCAAATCTTGTCCGGCACCCATGAGAGAGTCTTAAAGAGATGTATTGTCAGTGATAATGATTATTTTGCCTAGTACAGAGCTCTGATTTAAATCGTCATACCTAAAGTGGGCGAGGGTTGAGCTTCGTATGGATGAGCAGTGCTCTCGCTGCTTTGCAGCTCGGACGGGGATCCTTGAGAAACAGATGCTGCCTGTAAATTGTCATGATTTGGGACGCATACTTTGGCTCTAGTCTTGCCACCATTAGGCGAAGGTGATCCGAATACTGAAGTACCAGCCGCCTCTTGCGCCCTACTGGACCTCGTGCGACGCGTGGATGACTTTACAACGTCGGCATAGTTGCACATGAGAGACAACTCCAGGCACCTAGTACACTTGGGCCTACTGCCGTCGCATCTGACCTTCTTCATGCGACAATAGTCACAGGCCTGTGGAGATGATCAGCTATCAGCAATGTTGCGAGAGACGTCTGAGAGATATTAACCTTGGCAAATCGACGTCGCCTGTCTCCTGCAGTCACACTGTCTGACATACCCAATCAAAAGTCCGAGAAGTCTTAGAAGGGGTGCATGAAAGCCTATTGCGGGACTCAATGTAAGGTACCCAAGATTGAGGTAACTTGAAGAAGGAGGAATTTGATTGGAGGACCACGGCGACTTCCACAGAAACAAGGAGTGACTCGGAGGCGGATTAAGCGAGAATTCCGTTTAGCTGGGGCTGTTTCATCAGACCAACCAAAGCCCACCAAATCGTCCAGTAAATTCAGAAAGCGGAAGGCACAATCCCACTGTCCCTAGCCCCCGTGCTGTTCAGGTCTCCACTATCCAGCTTGGCACGGCGCACGGCCTGCCGTCAGAGTGAAGGAACTGCCGGTCAACAACCCCGGAAATGGAGTAACAACCTCAACTACCAACAGGGCTTTGAATTACCTTGAGGAGTTAGCAACTAACATGTACTTGAGGCTCTCATGTGACATCCATGGCTTGCTTTGAGCTCTTCATATCGAGTAGAAAATAATAGTAAAATATGACCCGAACGGCAAAAAGTCAGTGCGCTCTCAAAGAGCGTTGCAGGACCAGGTTTTGGTTCATTGTCAGACTTCTTACCTTTTAATATGTTTTGGTTTAAGGTACTCTCCATTGATCAAGTTGTCACAAATTCTACTATGGTCACTTGGTGGCAAGATCTCGAACGAGGTGGTCGATGCCACTACATAAAATCTCTAGTTCCTTCCCGACAAGATTCCAGCAGTTGTGTACCTGAGGCAGCTGGACTCACCTCACAGGAAAGGCGTTAGCCCTCAGTAAACAGTCCAGCGAACTTTTCGCCTCTCGGCCTCGGAAATCTTCTAGAAGAATGCACGTGGGAAGCGTCGTTAATTCATGGGCCTCATCGGACTTCTCCGAAAGGTCAGAACCAGACGAGGCAGTTGCGGCGGCCGCTTCTGAGGGACTGCCGCTCTAAGACTGTTCCCCGGGAACGGCGCTGGGCGACTGTCTCTCAGCCTCGGGGATGGTGGAGAGTCTCTCAGGTCGAGATGCTTCCGGCGTGATTGGAAAGACAGCATACTTCTCGTTAACGTCCAGACGACCGAATGTCAGAACCACCCATTAGTTGAACAATGGCACATGGTCTTTCTTTCCTGGGGGGCTTGCCCAAGCGGCAGGAATCCATCCGGCAAAAAACTTCCATCTAGGCCAGCCGCATCGAAGAATTGGATGGGGCTTCAACGCATAGTTCTCCCACATCTTGACTGGTCTTGTCCGCAGATGGTCGACGAGTGCGCGTCCGTATCCAACGAGAACGGCCCGAGGTTCCTCCAGCGAGTCACCCTTGTTCCTCATGGAGATGATGACGTTCTCTGGAAAGACTTCGCAATGGTCCACCCCGATGTACTCTTGTGAGATTGTGCCGGCCACGAGCTGCTCCATGATCTTCATTCTTGCGTCTTGGTGGGTAGCAAAAGTGCTAGATGGCTCAACGTCCTTGTGAAGCTCCACCACCTCAAACTTGGGGCCAGCGGGTGTAAAGAGTCGTTTGAGGTAAATGCCATCGATAAACTCGGTTGCGAGCACCGCAACATCTCGGGTTCGGTTGGTGAACGATGGGTCGATCGACTTCACCGCCGTGGTCCATCCTCCGTAGAATTGAGGAGCGATATGGGGGAAGCCAGTGAGCCCCTTTTCGACGAGGCGGCAATAGGCACCGAATTCGTCACTGAATGCCGAGTCGGCCTGAATTGTGACTTTGGTGACGCGCCCAGTGTAATCAGTGTCATTGTGCCAGAACAAGGGATCGAAAATCTTCAGGAAGAGCAATTGTCCTTCAGACGGAATCTCATGCTCTCGCTCATTCGGCGCGGTCGATGGCGGTGCGACAACTTTGCAAAGGACTTTTTGGGGGCCGGGATGGTATTCCGCACCCGGGCTGCCGCCAATCATCCGAATGATCTCGAGGTTAATTAGAGTAGTAGGATCATGTTGGTTGTTCTCGTCGATGGTCTTGGGCGCATTGTTTGGGTGAAAGACCAGCTGTCTGAGTGAAAAAGTCCTCTCTTCGTCGGTTTCTATTATGTCGCGAGAAGAAGACCAGCCTGCCGGAAGCGGGTACAAATTTTGGCCGTAGGGAGGAAGCGGTTTATGTGATCGGAGAAGGAGTCGCCGGCCTGGAGAGTAAATCTCCTTATGGTCGAACAGAAGGTCTCCATCCTCGACGAGACGTCTGGCAGCTATCTCTTCGCGCGAGGATGAAGCCATGTTGATTTCGTCTCAAAGTCTGACTTTTGATACCCTTGGTTAGTCTGATGCTGGATTGGGATGAATGGGAGTAGACTTCCCTATTAAATTTGAGAGGCAAAATGCGCGTTGGCGATGAAGCTCACCTGAACACTAATCCGAAGCCTGCGATGAAAAGTCTGAGGAAAAGTGCGGATGAAGGAAGGCCAGTTCAAATAAAAACTCTGAGGTGGACGAAAGTGAAGAATGAAGGCACTAACGTAGGTAAGGGCTTGATGTCACCTTGTTGGGTACCCAAGGCAAGGGAGGTAAGGGAAGTCACAAAGGTGGTATTAGCAGGAACCTCCAGGTGGGTATAGTTGGGCGGAGCAGGTAGTAAGTGATAACCTAGGAGATGGGTAATAGAGAACGGATACCTATCTACCCAGCATTGTTATCGTAGAAGGCAAAAGCCTTCTCAATATAAGATATCCAAAGTATATTCTCTAAAGAATACACAACAGACAAGATAGAATAAGAAGAGTAATAACGATACTGAGAATAGAAGCAATAATATAGATAATATGAGTAGTAGGAAGAGTAGGTGTGATAGGAATAGTAGGAAAACCTTGATAAAAATAGAGCTGTAATGATGGGCGGCAAACAATTGTGCCGCCCACTGGGTAAGGTGAGGTGCCAGAATCGAGGAAGACGCTATAAGATTCCCGGTTCCACGGCTCCATTGGGGAATCTAGATCTACTCTACTATACCTCTCGTCTCTACTATTCATCTGGCCACGTCCTAGTCTCGTCTAGCGGCGATTAAAGACTTGTGGTGATGGCATCAATCACCTCGTCAAGATGGAAGTATCGGCCTGTAGGATAATTGGACCTCGCCTGGAATTTTGTCACCTCCGCTTACCTTGGGCGTGTTGTTTTCGATCATAACGGAGTTGATACTTGCAACTGAATTGTTATTGAAAAAGATCTTCAGAACTCTATGGAAATATTACCGTTGATAAACACATTAGCAAGATGTCCTTTCATCCGGCAAGTCATCTTTCTACAGCCCTACGTGCTCCAGCAGCAGCAGACCACAAGCAGGGAATAAGTCCAGAAAGCACTTTTGCTTCTCAGGCATCGGCTTCTACCTTAGACACCGAAATACATCTTCAAAATGCGCGTACCGGGTTGCATTTTTGGTGGACCACTACGGTTGTTTCAAAAGTTTCGCACGGACTGGGACGCATTGCAGCATGTTACAAGATAACTCAAGGGGTATTATTATCAGGACTATCAAAACTACAAATTCGACGAGGTTGGTAATTAGGCGAGAGAAGCGCAGGTGAAGGGGCTGCTAATCTTTCCAGTCTTGAACTTGAGGTCCTATTCGAGACAATTAGCATCATTACACTTGAGTGGGTATATGCAGGGAAACTCACAATCTCAACAATACTGGCGTAGGTACCGCAAACTAGAACAACAATGCCGATGACAAAGGCAAGACCGTTGAGCGCAGTCTTCACGAGGTTCTCCTTGGCAAAGACGGAACCCTCGCGCATGAGCATGAACCACATCAGGGCAGGGAAGTAAAAGGTGAAGCCGGAGATGAAGAGCGAGGAGCTGATGGACAGAAGCTCGGAGAAGAAGGGGATAGCTTCGGCGATGATGAAGGCGATGATGGTGATGACGGTGATGAGACCGAGCCAAGTGATCCAGCCCATCTTGGTGTTGATGAAGCGGATGATGGAGTCCTTGTAGACACGACCGTGGATGTAGCGGCCGACGACGGTGGTGTTGATGGATCCCGAGATGAAGATGACGGGGAGGGCAACGCCGAACGCAATCTTGGAGATGGTGTTACCGGCGGACAGCAGGGCAGGGGACTTGACATCCTGGCCAACGAAGGCGTAGATGAGGGCTCCAGTGAAGGTGTAGATGAAGATCTCGATCAGTCCAAGGGCCCAGATAGACTTCTTGTAGTCTGTCGGGGTGTGCATCTCGTCCATGAAGGAGAACTGGCAAATGGCAAAGCTGTAAGCGAAGACAATGTTGGTGATGGCGATGAAGGCCTCGGCGAACGTGATACCATCCTTGGGCCAGGCAGACCAGGGAGCGGTGGTGATTTCACCTCTGTTGATACCGGTCGCGATGATGGTGATACCGATGGCGAGAATGATGGAGACGAAATCAATGTATCCCAAGATGGCGACTTCGGCAAAGGACGGGGGAATGGCAAGAATCAGCAGGATAATGGCGGAGACGACGGCAAAGACGATGGAGCACGCGCCGTCGTTGGTGATGTTGCCAAAAGCGATGGCGCCGGTAAGGGTGTGAGAGCTAACCAGGAACGTCAACTGAAGCGCGAACATGGCACCGATGATTTCGTAGCCCCAGCGGCCAAACATGAGCTGACCGGCGTCGGCGTAGTGCGAGACGTGAGGGAACTTGATCTTGACCTGACCCACGACGTCACTGGTGTAAATGGCTATCAAGCCCAAGGCCACGCAGACGATCACGCCGGCGACCATACCGAGGGAGGCAAAGGCGGCGGGAAGAGACAGACTGCCAAGGGCGATGGCCTCGACGATGAGGACGACGGTGAGACGCTTCCAGCCGAGGCGGTGGAAGTGGGCGCTGCCCTGGGCGGCCTTTTGCTTCTCGAGGTCCTGGCGGTTGAGGTCGGTGACTTCGCCGACTACTTCGCCGGGGAAGACGGCATCGCGGGAAAATTGGGGGGCGACAGCGGCGCCGTCGGAGGACTTGGTGTCCTTGTTGTCGGCGGCATGAGCCTGCTGTTGTCTAATCTGGTCGTGATCCATGATGGGCTCCTTGTTGGAGTGTGTGTAAGGTTGGAGAGAGTGTGGTTTTTTTGGTCTCTAGTCCAAGTTTTGTGTGTGGCGTGGGGCCCGGGCGGAGGAAGAGGAGGAGGGGAGGACGCTTTGACGGGATGATGTCAAAGGCGAGATGGGTGTTGTTGGAGTTGAGGGCGTTGTGGGAGACAAACACACTCGGACGCACAACAGGACGGACCGGGTTGAACAGGTCTGACTTCGGTTGAAGAAAGAGAGAAGAGAGAGAGAGAGATGAAGAGTCAAGAGCCGGTTGGACTGAAAGAGAGAAACAACAACAAGAAGATGGGAAGACGGAGGCGGGATATATGGTGGCAAAGGGCGGAGCATCAGCACCGACCCCGGAGTCAGGCCGAGGGCTCGACCTCGTCGAGTTGAAAGCAATTCACCTCGACTGAGACCCGGAACCTACGATGATTGGACCAGGGTCCTTATCTTTTGGCCCCCCCGCGATCGTGGGCGGTGACACCGGCACCTGGGAAATGGAATGGGATGGGGATGGGGATGGGTAGATGGCCTTACCACGGACGAGGGACGAGAGAGTGGGCGAGTGGGCGGCAAGAGTTCGTCAGCCAGATTACCTAGATGGCTGACATACGGATACTCAAGTCCCACGGAAAGCTCTGCTATTCGACGACTCGTACTTTGTACAAGAGAATCATCAACCCGGCCCCCCTTGCTTTGGGACCGGATTCCGTGCGTTTGTGAAATTGCGGGGGAATAAACCGTTGCAGACTTTCCCCGCGAAATCGGCCAGCGTCCCTGAGATTCCAGAATTGACACATTGGTCTTTGCGTGAGGCCGCGTGCTGCTTCCCCGAGTTTCCCAGTGAACAATTGTATTTCTCGTTGTCAAGAAAACTAGGAACGCGTGCCAGCAAGTTGAGGGTTGCTGACGGGGTTGCTCTGTTCGCGGTCGTGTAAATGCGGGACTGAGGCAATTGGTAGAGTTTTTGCATCGTAATAGGGTGGATATTGTGACCTATTCTTTACCTAAAGGACCCAGAAGCAGAGCCGCAGAGTGGCCTCATCTCGCCCACCTTGAGTCAGTCCATGTTGCTGTTTCCACGGGCGACCCCGAAATACGACCGGTGGCGCGCTGGGAAGAGGCCTGACGTGACTGGGATTTGAAGAGAGATAGTCTGAGCTCCTTTCAGAGAAGGGAAACGGACGAAAGAGAAAACTTTGCCTTATCTAGAGTTGCTGAAACTCTAGCGAGGAAAAGAGCGTCATGGGTGACTTTGAACATTGGACGTTGGGCCAAGAGCATGAGGCTCAAAAATTTTCAGACGAAAACGAACAAGAGCCAAAGCCAAGAGTGACGATTGCCGAACAAGGGGGGGGCCTGAGCCCGTCCGTGGGAAAAGACTCCCATAGGCGCAGACGTCTCTCGGATCTCTCCCACCCTTCCACCCTTCTACCCGTCCCCCTCCTCCCCTTCAAGTTGCCTTCCCGCGCTGGCGTAGGCGATTTCTGCAAGCCTTGGGATTGTCTTGAGTGTCTTGCTTCGATGCGCTAAACCAGTCGTGGGTTGCAAGGCCGCTTACCCGCAGAGGGCCGCAAAGTTAGACGTAATAGCGCCGCCGCGGTCCCGTAGATTCCCGACATCCTTGAGTCGTGGATCCATGCCGATCCCACCTTTGCCCACTCACACCTGTCACGTATTGGGAAGGCTTCTAGAAGATCGACTGGAAGGCCCCAAAAGGCTTGTCGACGCCTCCTACGCACTTCCCTGCACATGTGGCCACACAAAGTGCACAAAGGGCTGATCCCCCCTGCATATGCCCGTCTTCCCACCCGTGCCACCCCGTCCAGGGCCGCCTGTTGAGCGAGGCGAGCAAGGCGAGATCTCACGCGACGCGGGTTTTTGGAGCGAGTATCCATGCCGGACAGACTTCTCTCGTGCGTGAACGGAACCCATACGGACCCTGTTTTTTTTGTGTGTCTTCTTTTTGTGCCAGTTCTTTAGGCCAACTCTGACTGGCCAGAGAGACTTTCTGCTCAATAATTTGACATACAACCATTACCAACCGCAGAGATAACAGTTTCGGAGGCTGGTGTGGTTTTGGTGGGTGTTGAGAAAGGAGGTTGCATTTACGCCGAGTTCTCGCCCGACATTAACTGGACACATTCGTGGCAAAGCGAAACTGGTTCCATAGACATTAGGCGGAAAAGAAAAAAAAAAAAGAGTGACGAGAAAAGCGCAACACGTCGATGAACAAGGCTAATCAAGGCAAACAAGGCCATGGATAACAACTGTGCATCAGCAGGTTGTATTGGCGTCTAGTTGAGGGTGATAAACTGGCTGATCTACCGCGTTTGGCGGATCCGAAGGTTCAAACTTGCGTCAAACGACTCGGCCGTCGTGCCGCGAGAACCGAGCTACACAGCTTTGGCGTGCGAGATCTTCGTACGAAGGAGCAACTCGAAGCGGTTTGCGACGGGCTTTTGCTCGCTCCTCGTTACCGGGGGGCGGCCAGCATGAGCAGGGGAGGGTGAGGGACATGGACCGAACGAAGCTATTGGCAATTCCGATTGTGTCATTGAATCCGGGGTAGAACTGCGGGGATGGGGCCGGTTTGCGTTTGTAATTTGTTAAAGGGCGCGCGCTGTTGGTGTGGCGGTCATCCTCGAAATTATCGTCGCACTCTGTTCTGAACCGGTCTGGTCGTTCCTAGAGATGACATTCCTCCAAACCTGAGTCGTGCCATTCTTTCTTTGCCATGCTGCCATGTTATCATGATGTTCCCAGTCCATGGTCCCTTTCGGTTTCAGCCGGACGAACGCATCAACGGCCGAGATTGCTGCAACTCGGACCATCCCAGCCGCTGACCACTCCGAGAAGCGGACGATATCGCAAGCTGGAGTCCCCGATCCATGCATCCCTCACGCGGTGAACGCTCCGGCCACACACGGGGAACCCGTGAGCAGCAACTGGGCCAATCCCGTGTTGGTTATTTGACGTTGTGGGAACTCCAAGTGGTTTGCTGCATCCGTGCATTTTCCTCATTTCTACATGACACCAACACCAACACCACCACCACTAGTACCGCCTTGGCCGCGCTCCCACGTTGCCCATACTTCATCCAAGACTGGTAAGCAATGCTTATCCCGCCAGAGGAACCCGGAAAGGAGTTGCTGCAGGTTCTCGCGCCTGCATCGTTCCGGCGGCAAAATACCCCTGGCTCGTTCCAGTAAGCTATTTAGTCTCGACGAGAACCACTCGCGGTCCTCGGTTGTTCCGGACCCGACGATGCCCACAAAGAGAACCCACAACAAGGCGGCATCGTGAGACACCCAGATGAGTGCAATGGAATCCGCGTCATCGAGGGCGTCGCGCATCCGCCTGACGAGGACCCGTACCATGTGTCCCGTCGTCGGGATCTCTCGCAAAACGGTATAAAGAAATACGTGGGCCGCAGAGACGAGAACTAGGAACCGTTTCTGCACTGGCGTCGCTGTCCGGCGCTCCACGTATAAAAAGTGCAGAATTGTGCTATCAGCCGTGTTCATGACGATCCTGATGTCGTCTGCGGCCACGGACACGGCACCGCCTGCCTGCGAGAGAATCGCCTGCCTCAGCGCCACAAAGATCCTCAGCGGCTCGTCGCTCTCGTCGGGGTTGTGGCCGCCGAGCTTCTCCAGGTGTCGCAGGGAAGGCGTCCTTGCGCGATTCGTGACCGACGGCGGGAGTGACACCTGCGCGACAGTGTGGAACATGGGGAACTTTGGCACTCTTCCGAGACCCGAGGCTACTTGGATGTCGATCCTGGGGGAGGGATTCTGGTCAGTTACCGTTCGTTGTGGAGGGCAATCGAAGGAGGTCAAGTCACACACCAATTGATGCAGCGGCAGAGGATGTAGTCGTGTTTGATCGTCTCCGGTCCCCCTCGAGCTTCTATCATGGCGTGGAGCCCCGTCAAGTGGACGTTTGCCGCCGAAAAGTGACCTTGAAAAGCCTACCAACATGTGTGTGAGAACTGGGGCATCGAAGTGAGGTGGTGGTATTCGTATATGAGCGCTAGAAAATTACTTACTTCAACGCTTCCCAGCATGGCCACGCCAGCAAGAACAGAGAGGTCATTGCTTGCACTACGGGCAGATTCTTGAGAAGCTAGACGATCTCTGATCATCCGCATCGCCTCCCCCTTTTGCTGGTACCCTTCGCGCTGGAGCTTGAAGTCAAGGAGAGGCATGGTGGCGGTCAGAAACTCTGCTGCCAAGGCCAGCGTAACGCGCATGATGAGAGCGCTCTGCATAGCATAGGGAAACCATGGTCTCTGAGTATCGATCGTAGTGGAGTTGAGATTGAATCTGGTGGTGACTGGAGAGTTAGCTCAGACGCACAGCAGCGGCGTGGCGTGACGGCGTCCGACTCGTGAGCGGTAGAAGCTGCGACTCTTACAATATTTCACCAGAGAGTCCACGCAAGGACTACTGGGAATAGGTAGCGTATTGAAGGGGTCAGCGCTATCGCTCCCCAGTCTCTGTACCCAGGGTGGCAGCGATGCTTGGTGCAGAAACTCAGCAATGTCGGATGGAGACTACGGAAGTGTGAGTGATGACGGCCCGAGTCTTGTGGAGAGATGGGGACAAATAGCATACATGGGAACAGCGAGTTGACTGCACATCTTCTTGTTCTTTTTCTTGTTCTTGCAGATGCTTTGGACTCTCGGGTTTGGTTGACTTGAGCGTTGTTCCCGCCAACCTGAATCGTCCCTTCAACTGGGCCTTCTGCTTGATGGTGTCTTGTGAAATTGAGGCCGTCGAGGATCTCAGCTCCGAACGGCCCCTCTGGATGGCAGTTCGGATAGCATGACTTCTGGTGGATTTGCTCGCAGTTTGGAAACTCCCTTCAGTGGCATCGACGGTGATGAACTTGAAATCAGATTTGGGGCCCATGTCAAGGGGAGTTGGACCAGCCGAGGGGCTCCTTTAAGGCTGAAGCCCGGTCTGATCTCTAGCGTCACACGCCAGTCCCGTCCACATCTCCCACAATCAGTCGTCGTTATGCTGCCAATATCAATCTGTCGGCCTGCGATATCATCAACCCCTGGACTCGTGCTCAGTAAGGCAACGAGCCAACAGAGGGGCAACAAAGGACAACAGGACCCCCCGCTGCACGTCAACAGCAACAAGCCTGATTGGTTTAGGCTCGCTAGACTTGGCTAAGGTTGGTGAATAAAGTTGGTCCAAATGCCGCGCTCAATGCTGAGAGTTAGTCATCAACCAGGTAAAATGGCCCGAGTTCTTCGCGAAGGATCGCGAGTTGAGGGGGATACGGAGCAGCTGAGAGCAAAAGGCAGAGAAGGGGAGGCAGATTGGCCCGGCGGAGGTACGTACCGGGGCCAAGACCAACACTGATAAGACGCTTGCCTAATTTGATCTAGCCATCCTTAGATCCAATCGATGCAGCCAGTGAACGCCTGTCGCTTAGATGAGTGGGGATTGCTCTCCAATCGAGGCACGTAAAATACAAAGGGCACGTGACATGCGCAACGATCATCCGACAGAGATACGTATCCATCTTAGTTCCAGGCCCGATGTTCGTCCGTTTTCGGCCTCCGAGCGGACGAAGCGGACGAAAGATGCGTAAGCACCGACGACATGAACAACGTCAGTGAGACAGGCAGCGAGCCAGAGCTGCCCACGGCAGATGATCTGGGCTTTCCAAACGAGATCACGTCTTTGTTATCACTTTTGATTTTTACTCAGTGAGCTTTGGTATCTCGAGTTACCTCCTCTGTTGTGATATTTGGCTGTATGTAAAGGCAGCATTCGTCCTCAAGTCGTTTGGTTTGAAGCCTATAACAACAACGTCCGAAAAGATGGACGAACGACCGACAAAGAAACGTAAAGTCCGAAAGGGAACACGAAGTTGCTGGCAGTGTAAGTTCGTCCGTGGAAGTGCTCCGGTTTCCCGAGCGAGATCCAGCTCTGCCGAATTCCCCGATTCAATCGCTATTCTTGATTTACTAACACCCCGTCCAGGCAGGAAGAGAAAGATCCGCTGCGAATTCTCCTCCAACGAAGAAGAAACCTGCAATGGCTGCCAGGCTCGCGGTGCCGCCTGCGTAAGCCAGGAGTTCACCGACGATGAGCCGTCCGGCCCGCCTGAGCGCGGCCTTGCTCAGCGTCTTGGACGGTTGGAAGAGTTGATGGTGAAGCTTGCCGACAAAATGGGCCCAGAGCCTTCATCGGTCAACAAATCGACCCCGCCAACACCGTCGGTCGAGGGTTCCCTCCGTGTTTCCGATTCAAATGTCACCCCGGATGACTCGTCCTGGCAGTCCGTGAGTGGGACCACCGCCGTCTCCGTCCCGATTCCCGGCCGCCCCCTATCCCAATCCGTACTGAATCCGCCTGCGGCGGTGCGTCCTCGTGCTGGCAGCAAGTACGACAAGATATGCCGCGACATTCACTCCGTGTTCCCATCTCTTCAGGATGCCCAGACCATCGTCCAGTCAAGCAGAGGCCCAATCTTCGTATTAATCATCTTTTACTCGTACCAAGATATTCTCGAGGGCAAATCCCAGCCGACTTCTTCTCTCACTGCCATGCCAGATGTCACCAAGCACCCGGCTATCTTGGCAAAGCATTTGCTTCAGTTGACCATTTGTCTGCAGCAGATGCCGCCGTGCTTCGACGTTTCTCAACTCGAGGCTTGCCTGAAGTGCTCCATCCAGGACAAGATGGCAGAGTGGACAGCAGCCGCCAGCGCCGTCACTTCCAACGACGAGTTGGTGGGTTCTGCAGAGGGCTTGGAGTGTCTCATTCTCGAGGGGTTCTACCTCGTCAACTCTGGCAACCTCCGCAAAGCATGGCTCGCCATGAGAAGAGCTCTTAGCTTAGCACAACTGATGGGCATCGAGCGTGATGGCTCGCGGCCGTTGAAGTCGTGTGATCCCTCAACCGACCCTTCTACGATGCCTTCCTCTCATGCGCTGTGGTCCCGTATCAATTCCTGCGATCGATACTTATCCCTACTCCTTGGTCTCTCTGCCGGCACGCAGGATAACAGCTTCATGTCGGAAACCTTTCTGGTCCGTGACACGCCGATGGAGAAACTGGAAAAGAGATATACGGCCATCTCGCTCCGAATCATTGAGAGAAATCGCACTGCAGCGACAGAAGCCTTTGCCATCACTCAATCTGTAGACTGTGAGCTCGAGCACGCGGCAAAGTCCATGGGACGCAGCTGGTGGGAGATCCCGCCCGTGCCCGACTACACCGACACCACTGGCCAGATGAGCATCATGTCGCACCTGATGCTCCAGATCCACCACCATAGTTTGCTCATCTTGTTACACCTCCCATACATGCTTCGCAACCAGACAAACACCCGGTTCGACTACAGCAAAAATACGTGTTTAGAGTCTAGTAGGGCCGTCCTGAGACGATGCGTCATCTTCCGCACAGCCAACAACGCAGCATTCTCATGCCGCCATATTGACTATTCGTCACTCATGGCCGCCATGACGCTTCTTCTCGGTCACCTCAGTCGTCCTCCTGGCATTCGTGAAGAGGACTGGGCGAGACAACGGAGCGAGGACCGCACCTTGGCTGAAACTGTCCTGGCCAAAATGGAGGAACTAGCTGTGCTGAACGACGACAAGCTATCCGGCGAGAGTGCAGAGATTATCAAACAGCTGCTCCCCATTGTCGACTGCTGCAACGGGGTAACTCCACGCCATTGCCCCGAATCAGAGGTGAAGAATCTTCAGTTGAGCATCCCTTATCTCGGAATCATCAATATCAAAACCACCGCAAATCAGACAGCCGAGTCGCACTTGCTGGATCTTAGCCACTCACAGCTGCCAACACCAGCAAACACAACGACTGTGGCATCGGAATCTCTCCAGCAAGACACTCCTCCAGCAGTATCCTTGGAAGCACTCCTCGGTCAGGACAACACAATCCCCCACGAGGACGTGTGTGCGGGCTTCAGCGCCGATTACCTCGGATGGCCATGCCCTGGAATCACGGCAGAGGCTGGAGATTGGGCGTTTCAAGGCGTAGATACAACTTATTGGTCCCTTTTGAACAGCGGCATGTCAGGTGACTTTTCCCAGTGACGAAATCAAGCCTTCAGTGCCCAGCAAGGGACGGAAAAGGCGCAGTTGAAAAACTTTGAGCTGTTCAGATACTAAGGAAGATGGACTGTATTGCAACGAGTCTTTCAAAAAGAGGAATCAACCCCCTTTTCAGTCATCCGGGTTGCCCGAAACTCCAAGCGCACAGCCAAGGAGGCATTAAAGGTCAATCTGAGGCCTGCTCATGTCTGAAGAGCGTAGCCTGATTTACGCATCCACCACTGGACTTCTGTTGGATTCTGCCAAGTATTGTCACTCTCCTGTTGAGCGTGCATAGTTACAGGCCCGCTTCACGTCGAATAATAGCGCAGCCTAAACAGGCAAGGGATCATGCTGCTATTGGACCCTGTGGTTTGCCCAAACTTGGACCAGAAGACGCAGCACTTGATCAGAAGTTCAGAACTACCATTTGTCCTCGGAAAGCTGGCTAGCTCCTCTGTCTCCTCTCGTAGTTGGATCCTGAACTCAGAAAGCCAGCCAACGAAAGCGGATCGACAAGGTGAAGACCCTCCAACGGAACGCTCAAAAAGACACGATAATGTTTGAGTCTCTGAAACAAATATCCACGTTCAACATTAGCCCCAAGACTCAGCTAGTTTCTGTAACGGAAATACAGGACAAGGGATCTTTGCCATTAGGTCGTTCCAAGTTAAGGATGCAGATGGAGACAAGTCGTACTTCATTTCTCGCTTGGTCGAAGTTGGGCATCTCCGCAGATTCGTGAGCCCGGTTAGCAACAAGACTTCCCCTCGGAAGTTCGATGATGCTTACGGCTCGGCACATGCGGCTTTTGAAAAAGTGAACATGTTGGACTTTCTCCTTACCTAAGCCAAGCTGCCAAGAAGGGTCTTGGCGCAAACTCTTCAACTTGGATGAGGCTTGCTTGCAACGCTGTGTGGTTATGTACTAATATGTAATTCCCAGAAAAGGGGAACTGGGGCTTAGCAATACGACTCTACAGACTACAAAGGTGCTGTCTAATGTATGACTTTACCATGACCCCGGCGAGCCAGCCAGGCGTTGCTGGAGACATCCCACTCGGGCAATTCGTGAACCACCTAAACTGCGTGGGCGACCAGCATTCGTGCAGCACGCCGGGCAGAAATAACCAGCGCCCGGATCGAGACCCGAAAGACGCACTGATGGGGTTGCCAAGGGGGGGTCCTGGAGCATGGGCACCTGAGACTGGCATCCATCAACGCTCATGTCCGACAGCCGCACGAAAATCCATGACTCGTCGCCGAGCCAGAGACCAATCGGGTCGCTGGCTCTATACTACATATGGGGACTTGGGGGCACATTTGGGGCACAGATTGTATAGTTTGGTGGTCTAAAATCCTGATACAGGTTAGACTTATGCTTATTTGGCTGCGCAACTATACGGAAAAAGGACCGCACTCCAACTTCAGCAGGACATTGTACCAGACTCATCAGACCAGCCAGCTTGCCCGGCCAGCCAGAGCATTAGGCAAAGGAGTACACTGCTTGCGCCTATCCAGATCCATAGACCGTCCGTCGTCTGATGCCAAGGAGCAAAAGTCCATCACGGTCGTCCCGATTCGGTAACTGACCCTTAGAGACGTGAAATTGCCAGACATGGGGAACACTCGGCCGCTGTCCGGATTAGTGTTCACTCCACGTCTCTTTTCGACCATGGCGGAGATCCGGTTAGGACCCGTGTGACATTACTGGTTGAGGTAAAGGACCCATTCAGATCCTTCAGCCTCAAAAGTGGACGGCGATGACCAGGGGAGACTACTGGGACAAAGGGTCTCGAGGTTCTCGGTTCTCGGTCCTCGGTTAAGACTACTTTTGTGTATTATCGATGCGGGCTGGGGTGAGTGAGGCGATGGAAAGGTCCCTAACAATTCTGAATTACTGCCAGAATTAGGACCGTGGTCAATACGTAGAAGGTAGACGAGGAGATATGAGGCTAGATAGGAGGGATGAGGATGAAGGATAAAATGGTCACAGGTCGCTCTCATCATCAGCTTGGTCTCGGAATATTCAGTCTTCATCCAGTCTCAGTTGTCTTTCTCCTTGTACCCACACCGGTTCTTACTCTCTTTGACGCCTTGAAAAACTGAAAATTCAAAGTCACAATCCAACATTTGACCAAGTTTGACTATCTTTACCTTTGAACACAATGATCTCTTCTGCTCTCTTCGCAGTCTTTGGTCTGGCAGCTACGGTCATTGCCGCGCCTCCTCGCCCTCGCATGCTAGCTGCCGACGATATCATTCTCCTCGGCCACGGCGGCACCTCCAAAATCATAAAAGCAACGGACTACGATGCTCTCGAGACTGCCACCTCTATACCCGCACAGATTACATCATACAATGCCACAAGCACACCTGGCCTGATCCGTCGCGGCTGCCAGCAGAGTTCCGAGGTCCAAGTCATGTCAGATGAAGAGTTCCTCAACTGGGACGTTGCCATCTCCCCCGTAGCTTCCTCCTTGGAAGGTAGCTCCGCTGGCATCAGCATCTCCAACGGGGTCGAAATCAGTAATTCGCTCACCATCGGTTCTGAAATTACCATTGGGGGCTCAGACATCATCAGCGTGTCTTTGGGCATGAATCTGGACATGTCCTGGTCTACGTCTCAGGAAAACTCCCTCGAATTCGATATCCCGGCGAACATGTACGGCGTCATAGTCAGCCAGCCTTTTGTGCGTCGTGTACAGGGTAACTTATTTACGGGGTGCACGGATAACCCGACAAAGACAACTTTCATGGCGGACACGTACGAGAGCCAGGGCTATGGCCAGCTGGCTTGGGTGAAGGGTGTCATTCGGCTCTGCACGAGCAAAACTTATCCTATTCCCTACTGCATTGGCGAGGGCCAGCACAAGTGAGTAGAATTACATGATGGGGTGGTGCAGAACATTTTTTTTTTTTTTTGTTTTTCTTGGAAATTGGAAAGAACTGTGATGGATTATTTTGGCGCAATTTGATGCACATTTGATGCAAATTTGATAGAGTACTGGAGTAATGTATCATTGAACCTTGAACGTGGAGCTTTAGACCCGCAAGTCACTGCTTGAATACTTGCAGTTCAAACCAGACCAAATATTTCTCGTTACAAGTAAACCTGCAAAAGTACTTGTAAACATGTCGAGATAAGGCAGCACTGAACGCTTTCAAGATTTTGAAATGGATAAATTAGAGGATTCATGGATCGTGTTTTTGGCTGATCACCGGAAATGGCCTGGCACCAAGTAAGGTAGACATATCAATAATCAATAGAGGTATAGGCTCGAGGAAACTCGACATGATCCCGGCTATTTCATCATGGAAACCGGAATAAAAGACAGAATGGTTGTTCAGCTATTACAGCTCAAATAATCGGCTCATACTTCACGCCTGATTGATTATGACCTTAAATGGCCAGGAATGGCATTGAATCATTCTTCGTTGGCATTAGTCGGTACAAGTAGAGACCGCAGGAGTTGGAACTTGAACGTGTTGCATTTTGTCATGCCAACGGCTGGCTGTTGGGCAGTGAATAAGTTACCCCAAACAATTGAAGATGGGTTCCAAGGGACATTTTCTTACTTCATGTACTCAGAATTTTATCTTCTAACGCTCAAATCACCATGTGAATTTGAGTTAGGAATTATGTTCTTGGAAACGATCATCACTACATAGACCTTACTCTCAATAGATTTTGGATGGCTCTACATGGATGTTCTGTCTCATGTCAAGGCCCCTTCAAGAAAGCATTGAGTGGCGGCGCGAACTAAACATACCGTGTATCTTTAGTAAGCCATAGGATGGGAAAAGTCAAGTAATTCTATTTCCTAGTCACTACTCCGTATAATTAGACCGAACATGATCATGGATCTCGTGGTCAGGAGGTAACTGATAGGAGATTGATAAGATGAAAACTTGGAGTAACCACACTTGGTTTAGCATGATGGTTCCAATGTAACACAGCCCACGCGATAAAATCACGCACTTGACCAAAAAAGGATTACTGTCAGCTAGAAATTCTGCCCGTTCGGGTTGAACGATTTCCAGCCAGTTACAGAAGTACTTAGGCCTTCCCGGTTTCAGTTGGCAAGTGGCCGGTATCCCTCTAACAGTATAAACACTCTAACCTCCTCACTCATAAGTTCATTACGCATAGAAGAAAATACAGAGATGGCGTTATGCTAGGTAGAAATAAAAATATTGGGGACACCGCAAGTCTGGTGTAAAATTTAGGGCCGCGGTGTATTGAACCGACGCAACTCGGTTCTGTCGGCGATGGAGAACTTGGCTCATGCACCCAAGAATCCTTCAGCAATTCTTCAGCAACAAGCGAACAAATCCACATCATGCGCGTGGTTGTCTTCGGCGCAACAGGCGGACAGGGCATCGCCCAAATCTCAGCTCTCAAGGCGGCAAACCACTATCCCATCGCTGTGAGCCGGCAACCCCGCATTACTTCGCCGCCCGTCGAGACCCGTATCGCAGAGCTCACCGACCGGTCCGCCGTCCGTGCTGCTCTGTCCGGTGCAGAAGCAGTCTTGTTGAACTTGCCTTCCTTTCAGCCAGCTGATTTCCTCTATGCCGCCGCGAGGACTATTGGGGCCGAGGCCGCTGCGCAGTCGTCGACTCTAAAGATCATCGTGTTCAACACGAGCTTCCCCGTCCCCGAGAAGAATGTCGGCATTGAAGCTCAGGAGCATCGTCGGGAGACACGCCGAATTTTGCGGGAGGAGGTCAAAGGCAGCGGCGTAGCACTCGTTTCGATACAACCCGGCGTTTTCCTTGATAACCTACTAGAAGGCTGGACTTTGCCGCGCCTTAGAGACGAGGGGCGGATAGTCTACTGCCATAAACCCGACCTCGAGGTGTCGTGGATTTCTCTCGATAATCTGGCGCTCCTGATGGTTGCGGCCTTGGCACGGGACCCGGCGGAGCTCGATGGACGGAACATAGTCGTCGGTGGCCCGGAGACGGTAAAATTGTCCCAACTCGCCGAGAAGTTGGGCCGTGCGTGGGGCCGAGAGGTTGGGTTTGAAAACCAGACGGTGGACCAATTTTCTGAGGAAATGGCTGCGGCATTGAAGTCTCAGATGCAATCCGGTAAAGAATTGGAAGTCGTCGTGGACGAGACGAGAAGGGCTTACACATGGTACAATGATGCCGAGGAGAAGCCCTTCAAGGTGGATATGGCGCCTGTGTTGGAGGAGCTGAAGGTTTGCTTGACGGGGATTGAGGACTGGGGGAGACTCAAGGGCTGCCCCATAGAGACCAAATAAGACGTACGCTGAGCTCACTGTGGTAACGATGATGAAGAAACTTGGTCTTTTCGCGAAGCCAGCCTGGCGTCCTTTCAAAGTATTCAACTCGCTCATCCCCTCCGGGCTAGATCTGTGGTTGGGATCTTGGAGGAAGAGACTTCATGTACACTAACCTCACAATTTCACAAAGTAAACTCAGGGCTAGAATTCCTCAAAGCCTCATGTTACTGGCCTTGACCTGCTCCCTCCCCTCAACACCTCCTTTTCCACTACCTCAGAGCGATCTCACCGCCAAACCCTCGTCAATGTGATGTAGAGCAGCCGAATCTGACAAGTTACGATGCTAACGCTGACATCTGGCTTATCAAATGTTTTGAAATGCACAGCTTCTACTACCGGTCCGCTACCAATACATACTCGGTCTCTGGGAGCACGCATAGTTTCACCTCGGCACACCATCCGTCATACTCGTATCGATTTCTCGAGCCTCAATCATCCGACAATCCTTCAAGACTAGGTGTTGGGGCTGACAGATACAACTCTGCTAATGCCCGTGCCCTCATTTGGCCAAGACTCAATGCAAACGAGTTGAGTCTACAAATCCGCAACGACAGCATCGACTCTCATACAGCTCCACGAAACTCCGAGTTTTGTGGATAATCAAAGGGAGACATATGATTTGATGAGAATCTGCATTGGACCGTGAGCTCTAATTTGCGAGTCTTCATCGTATCTTCAGCGTTGAAAGCACAGGCCATTTACACCCATTTAGTCGTGAAACATGTTATACCTCTGAAATCAAAGCTCTTTCCTCAAACATCAAGTTAAATCCCTTTGAATCTCTCAAAGGCATCAACGGCACTCTCTACTTGAGCCTCCATGTCCACACCGTTGATATACATCCCACCTTCCCTCATCTCGGCCTTCATCTCATCCAAGACAATTTCGTGAGGATCGCGGCTGTAAAGTCGCCCGAAACTTCGCGTGATCTCTACAATTTTTTGACTTCTAGGAATCCGCACTTGGTCATAGGCTTTGAAAGCGGCTTCAACCTCGTCTAGGGATGTCAAGCGCAAGAAGATGCCGGTGAGCACTGAGCAATCCTCGATCGCTTGAGCAGCGCCGTTGCCTGAGTGAGGAAGTGTCCCGTGGGCGGCATCACCGACCATGGCTACCCTTCCTCTGTAGTAAGAGGGGGCGTGGTCATGGTCTTGAAGAGTCCAGTCCTCTGTGTGCCCTTTCTCTAAAAGCTAGAATGTGGCTGTTTAGATGACCATGATGCCATGAGGGATAACTAGAAACCATGAAACTTACAGATATCAAGGCATCTACCCCTGGAAGTGAACCCTTCCAGAGTTGAGGGTCTAATGGGACCCCACGTTCCGGGCATTTGGTGTCCCTTTGATAGCAGCCCACGCTGAACGTCTGGCCAAGGTCAAGCGGGATAGCGTTGATGAACCCATAAGGTGTACAATACGTGATGACCGTGTTGACTGACTCTACAGGGACGACCATTTTGGCTTCGGACATGGGGACGGTGGTGTGGAACTGACGCCATTGGTCGTGATTGACTGGAGCTGCGTTTGGATGACCAGGCCCCAGAACAAACTTCCTAGTCGGGCTGTTGACACCTTCTGCACCGAAAACAATATCAAACACATCTTGAGTGCCATCTTCGAACGCAACGGTGATTTTACGTGTCGAAGGGTCTTCCTCCATTTTAGCGACTCGCTTGCTGAAGTGAATGCGCTGATGCGGAACCACGCCTTCTTCAAGTAGTCCTTGTATGAAGTGCGCGCGGTGAACGGTCCGCCTGCCCTTGGCCCTTCCCAACTCAGCAAAGATAACTCCAGCGTGTTCACCACTGGTCAATTTGAACTGTGTTGCCATTTCCGTGTTCTCGTCACCAGCCATGAAGTGCGATTTCTTGAAGTACGCCCGCTTGATCTTGGGCGAGATCAAATCCATGGCCCTGATGGCGTTTCCATGTGGTGCAAGACCGGACCCGCGGACTCGGATGTCTGAATATCTCTCAAACAGCTGAACGTCCAAAAGTGGATTCTGGAGAAGACCGACAGCTAGGCAGCAGCCGGCGATACCGGCGCCTAAGATGCCTACGCGGATGCGGCTTGCCTCAAAGTTCTCTCCCATGATAGTTGAGTATCAAGTCGTGTTCTGGCAATATTATGTCGGTCGAGACCTGAGCCAGTCAAGTGCGGGGTTGGCGAGGTTTGATCTCAGATTATCTAAAAGAAAAAGAGGAGTCAGGCGTCATGCCGAGAACATCCACTTGGCTGTTTGCTTGACCGCAGACGGATACTTACCCGTGTTGTTGGTTGGTGAATGCAACGCATCATGCCGCTTTGCTCCACATACCCTTGCCTCTGGGACATAGTTCCTTGGAGCTCGTTGGTATATTGTTAGTGAGATTCTCTGAACTGTGATTAGATTCAATCAGCGGGAATGGAGGACTTTGAGGTAAAGACTACTGTAGCTCGTTGAAACGGCTTTGGCGTATTGACACTGGAATTTTCAACGTTTGTGGCTCAATTATACTTTTCTATAGCGTGATCAAAGTTTCTTCTTGCACTTGCGCTGAAGAACTGAAAATGGGCCCATTTGTCCAGCTCTTCCCTGTCCATGCCGTCGAACTTGATGTGACTTTCCTTGAACAATGTGATGGATCCCGCTGCTTTATGTGTGTCTACCTTGCAGGGGAAACAGTGAGTATCAGCAAATATGACAGTCAACATTTTCATTGAATCCAAGTACTTCAGGCCTCTTACCGGAATATAAACACGTAGCCTTCTGATTCCTTCAATAGTGAAGTGGGTGTTGGAAGCCGATGGAAAGAGTTGTGTCATTTCAACCCCTCTCTTAATATGCCTACTCTTCACTTCTCGGAGGCTGTGGCAAATGTCTCACAGAACGCTCAAAAGTTCTTTCTATTGAGAGAGTGTGAGGCTAATATTATCAATGGCGAGCATTAGGCGCGAACATTGATTACTTGGAACTGGTAGCTTAGAATAGGCAATGCGCAGGATCCAATGTATTCTGCCAGCCGACCGACCAAAAGTTAACTTGACCAATGAATTAAGAATTACGTTCCTCCTTGCCATCTTAGACATTCACTTTCAGAGACATTCACAAATACCTCAAGCAAGTTTGAAGAACCACTGGCTCTTCCGCCTTATGTCTGACATATACCTTACGATATGATCATTGCGTCTCTGGTGTTGATGGCGCATTGCGGTTTGAACCGCGGTATTTCCATTCGTAAGGCAAATTGAAGGCGGCGCGTGACAGACAAAATCAAAAGAGTTGCATGTAATACTATTTCATTCTTCAGCAGACTCCCGTACATGAGGGGTACACCATTTTTCGCTTCCCGGGCAAGTCAGGACTTCAACTCGAGCAGATATACATTAGCCTAGATGTCTGCAATTCGATTACTAGCAAAGGTTTTGGCTGGGACGTTAGACTTTTGTTCGGCCATAGAGAATAGACGTACAAGTATTCAGCGAAGGTATGAAATAGACGGTGAAGTTTGGAATGCTACAAAAGGCCCTAGCGTCCGCACTCCGGTGGAGATTACGAATCTTTAATTGTCGGTGACTTTGATCGGGGCATCTCAAGCACCCGACTACCTGACAAATCCACGAATCAGAACGTCACTCGAACTCGGCTCAATTCAACACCGATGGAACGGGAAAGTTGTTTTAGTTGGATCGCAGGATCTGGTGTTCATCCGATTGAAGCAATGCTTTCAATTGGTAATCAGTTGGCAACCAGTCTTGTAAAGGGTCGTAAGGGAAATTCGGGACGATTCACTCAAGCTGATTATGGCAATTTTGCACCATATATTTGGAATGCAAAAGCTTCCAACTCAGTATTACAGGTCCCTATTGTCATCTCCAAAATTCAAATTTCCCAACATGTCAAAGTTGATAGTGGTCTGTGGCGTGACCGGCAACCAGGTAGGCAATTCGCAATGTTCTTCTGTATCTACGAGTGAATTCTGATGATACTACGAGTGAAAAGGGCCACTCTGTCGCCGAGACATACCTCAAAGAAGCTGGATGGAGGGTCCGTGGAATCACTCGAGACGCAACCAAGCCAGCCAGCTTGGCGCTGGCTGCCAAAGGAGTCGAAATCGTCGAAGGCGACTTGGACAATGTCGAGTCTCTGAAAGCTGCTCTGCAAGGCGCCAATGTTGTATTCGGAAACACCGTGTTTCCCTTTATGTTGGCACTGACCTCGAACCCGGAATTGAAACCAGGACAGTCTATCCTTGAGTGGGCTTATGAACTTGAGGTTCAGCAAGGAAAGAACTTGGTAGAGGCCGTCGCCAAGCTGGACTCACTTCAATTATTTATCTGGTCAACACTCTCAGCAACCCGAAAATGGTCAGGAGGGAAATTCCAGAACGTCTACCACTTCGAATCGAAGGCTGCCGTGGCTGATTACGTACGTATTCATTTTTCTGATTTGTACAAGAAGACGTCTATGCTACAACTAGGACTCTTCATGACGAATTGGAAATTTGGTCCCGTCAACATTCCATGGGTGAAGGTGCGTGTATTTTGGACACTCAAGAGCGCGCTCCTTAACTTTGGTGCCTGAACTGACATGAATTTATCCGGCTGCAGCGGGGAGACGGCACGATGGTCCTCCGTATGCCAGGAGAACTCAAATATCCAATTCCACATGTCCTCGTTCAGGAAACAGGAAAATACGTTAAGGCATTAGCTCAGGCTTCCCCAGGCACAAATTTACTGGCTCACTCTGAGTTTTTGACTTGGCCAGACTATGTGCGCCTGTGGAGTAAAACGACTGGAGTTCCGGCAGTATTTGAATCCATCACTATGGATGAGATGGAAATGCTTGCTCCCGGAGGCTTTGGTCTCGAAATTGGAGAGATGCATGCATACTCTATGGAGTTTGGTTACTGGGGAAATGATCCGTCGGTTATACACCCGGAACAAGTAGGTGCACTTTGTTTAAGATTTCGAAGAAGACGAGGCTAACAGTCATCGCCGTTCAGCTTGGCATCAAGGGAGAGCTGACTACGATTGAGAATTACATCAAAGGGGAGGATTGGTCTGAATTGCTAGGCCGGTCTGTGATGGATTGACGTATCACAGCTACAGGGCTTGTTTTGCTCGTGCAACTAGAATCGCATGTTACTCCAGGCATTCGTAGATGAGCTTAGTGTTATTGTATACCTGCATTAGGTCTCCAGTAACGTTGGGTTAGCTGTCTGTGGGACGAAGAAAGGCTCGAGCCTGCTGTAGTAACTGAAGTTATATTGTCTCAATGGGTGGAAGACGGAATGAAGCCCTATGAACGCAGAATACGTATGGGGGGATCGTTCAAGTTGTGTTTAAAGCCGGAATCAGTGTAACCAATGAACCGATTGTCGCGTGCCTCTATTTTGGTAGTCTGCTTCAGTCGAGCAAAATTGCTCAGGAATTACCTCCCTGGATCAACTCCGGATTGAACTTAGGGTCGAATGTAAACATGACGAGGGAATTTTGCACCCAATGTTGAGGATCAAATATGTAGAGTGAACAAGACTATAGATTCTAGTTCCTGTCTTTCATTGTATATAAATATGCTAACCTAGCAAAGTGAATCATCTAGGCCGCCCAATATGAGCTGCAATTGAGAGATACAAACTTGAGGATGGAGATCGATTGCTTGAAATAAAAGTAGACATGTGCAAAGTAAATAGGCAGTGTGTCAGTCAACAAAAAGTTCGAGAGAGACCCAGGTTGCGATGGAATGGCAACCTTCTCGAATCACCATCACAGACTTAGTACTGCCTTGATAGTCTCATCGATGCTCTCAGTCTTCAAGCCTAGGCGATCGTTCCAAATACCACCCTTGACATGCGTATGATCTTCAAGTCCGCCTTCCCCGAGTACCAGCGCCATAACAACAGCGGCGCCGCCTTCCATGATCTCTCCTTTCCCAAGTTTGGCAAATCCATCTTCCCTGAGCGCCTGTGAGCCGACTTCGACTGTTTTCCACTTCTCGCCAGTAAACTTCTCAAGAGAGGCCAGGACCTCCAGTTGAGTGGTTGTGAATGACTCAGTGAAGACCAACTGATTCTTGGTCTCGTCGGAGTGCTTGAGGACTGCAATGATGGCCCGCCCAATCTGTGCCGTGTTACTTGCTGTGAACCGAGTCTTACCGCCATCTACCAAAGTTCCAGTCTTGGTAGCAAGGTTGAAGCCTGTCATCCCGAGCTTCAATCCCTACAGTAGTTGAAGAACGTCAGCAGTTAGGCACTATGGCTATTGGCTAGTCGCTGGAATGAATGGGGGCAACCAGGAGCCCTTACCCAATCAAAGAAAGGCCCAGTGATGATGGCGGTCCAACTGAGCACATCCTCCTTGCTTGCGAGCCAGTCAAGGTGAGCTTTTTTCGGCTGGAAGAATAGGACGGCTGCAATAACCTCATCAGACTACGGTTGACGTTAGTCAGAGAATGTGCACCTGGTGCTGCATCGTCTGTGTAGAGGGATCCCATACCGCGGAGTCTGATCCATATTCGCTGGGAATAAATCTCTTCACGCCTGCCTTAATGGCAGCCTCAACAATTTTTTGCTGCTCTCCAAGAGCCATGATCGGAAGCATGCTGACAACTGCATCTTGACCTGCAAGGATCTTGACCAGGGAATCCTCACTGTAGTCGGTTCTTACAACTTTGGCACCCGGAGGAAAAATCGCGGAAGATCCCTCGCGGCTTAAGATAGTCAAATCGAGGTCAGACTTGAGCAACTCAGGCAAGACGGCCGCGCCGACATTACCGCTGGCCTGTACCCATATCAGTAATCAGTAAACTTGGCAACGAGCGGCAATGTTGTAGGAACTTACACCAACGAGAGTGACTTTCTTCAGAGACATAGCGTAAGGTTCAAGTTTGTTCAGGATTCGATAAAGATGCCGATGGAGAAGGAAATAAGGATGGTTCTAGTATATGAAGGTTTAGGGAGGGGAGTCGAGGCCAAGATATTTATCTTTTCCAGTCGTATCTAATAAAGGTAAACAGCTCGACTCATACACGGGCCCTGAGTAACGGTCGATTCAACTGGCAAGGGATCAAAACACATGTAGGGTAAGTTTCCAAGCACGACTAACCATGACGAAGTCTTCAACGGTGATCTGACTTAGCCTTTACTTACAAATCCATCATCCTGCCTACTGTGCTCCTCTAGTAGTCCCCTAGGGGCTGGTAATAGTCTGGAGAGTTATGGGTTTTCATGCATATTGATGACCGCAACTAGGAATGCTTGCAATTGTCTCTAGTCGGCTCATCTATTGTCCGCTAGTACGCTACAAACGAGTTATGCCCGGGTGCAGATGGCGAGAAAACAACCTGGGCGGGATGATTAGTAAACAACCAGTCTTTGAATGTTGGCTTCGTCTTGAATCGGCTAATTCGTTTTTCTAGAGCATCCTTTCTGGGAAGGCGACCGCCCCAACGGAAGAGATTACAATATACAAATGATAGAGTATGGGAATGGTCGGGGCCGTTGGATTGAGCCATCCAATGATCGGAATTTAATTCGTCCGAGAGAATTCCACGAGCGAAATTTGATGTCGCGAGAAACTCAAAGAACGTAGGCGGACTTTACAAACCGATCCTCTTTTTGCCAAAGCCTTCCCTCACGTAATTCTCATCTCCTCGAGTATTTTAAACTCCGTAGCTCTCGGTTTTTGACCCATCTATGGACCCAACTTTGCCCTCTTTTCGAGTGCTATTGTCCTCCGCGTCTCTATCTCACGCATTTCTCAACAACTGAACATTTCGATCAAAAACGCCCACCATTTATCCTGTCTATCCCCCGAATCTGCTCGAATCCTCAAAATGAAGGCTTTGGTGTCTAATCGTAGCACCCCCGCACGAATTTTCAACCTCACCTCGGGAAAGTCCATCTTCAAGGGAGCCCATGTGATCGACGTACCGAAGCCTGTCATCACCGGCCAAGAGATACTGGTCAAGGTGCACTCTGTGGCTCTCAACCCGAGCGACTACAAGCACATTGACGTCATCTCACCCAAAAACTGCATCGTCGGGTGCGACTACGCAGGAGAGGTAATTGAAGTCGGCAAGTCCGCAGTAGAGTCATGGAAGGTGGGAGACCGTGTAGCGGGTGTGGTTCATGGCGGCTTGCACCACGACAGGGGCGCGTTCGCGGAATACCTCAAAGCCGAAGCAGACCTGGCGTGGAAGATTCCTCAAAGTGTTTCAGACGAGGCTGCAGCAACCTACGGTGTTTCGGCCGTGACGCTGTCCTGGCGATGAATGTGCATCTTGGGCTTCCGTGGCCTGATGAGCCAAAACAAAACCCCGAAGTATCGAAGCCACGACAGACCGTTTTCATCTACGCAGGCTCCACCAGTGTCGGTCTCTTTGCGATTCAGCTCGCCAAGTTAGCGGGCTACACAGTGGTTACAACAGCATCTCCACATTCTAGTGATCTAGTCAAGAGCTATGGAGCCGACCACGTTTTCAACTACAAATCGGAGAATTGGGTACAGGAAGTCGTATCAACCTTCCCAGACATTAACCTGGCTCTGGATTGCATCTCAGAAAAGGGCACTGGTCCTCTGACGGCCAAAGTCCTACAAGCTAACGGTGGCAAGGTTGTCACGCTGCTTGATCAAGGAGAGTCAAAGGTTCCAGGTGTCAAGTATGACATGATCATGCTTTATACGGTTTTTGGCAAAGAGTTTGCCTGGTTGCCGCCAATCGGACCCAAATTTCCAGTCGATTTAGAACATCGACAGGCTCTTGCGCGGTTCTACTCGATACTACCACAGCTCAGTGGGGTTCTTAGACCTCCCCCTATCAAGGAAATCAGTGGCGGTATTGATGTCTTGCTTGAGGAATTAGACCAATTACGCAAGGGAAAGGTATCGGGAAAGAAATTGGTCGTAAAACTTTAGTGAAAGAATGATTTAATCAATATGCTTGGCAATTTTCCAGGAGCGCGATCCAAAAGTTGATATCAGGGTGTAGTGATAGGAGTACACTAAGATGTATTGACTGGCATACTATTCTGCCCCACTAATATCAGCTACGTTATGTCCAGATCAGTCCCGGCTCCCTCCTCATATCCTAAACCCCGAACACTCTCGCTATTCAGGTCAATTGTACCCCGATTAATATATGTTCTCGCAGAACTCTCGGCACGCCGTGTTCAATCAGTCTCCAGGGCCAAAACGTGAAGCAACCATGGGGAGCAGTAGTCGATCAACATCGAAGTCTTCCCCGGTTGACTTCCCTCGCTTTCTCAAAGATGGAGCGACAACAAGGCGGACTGTTTGATCTCGTCTCCCCGCCCCATCGTCTCCTTCCCATTCCATTTGCTCGGGATCAAAGATCATGGGCGTCTCATAAGTGATCCAATCTACGCGTGCAGCTTGTCTACAGACCTCCTTATCAAGAGCTAGAGCCTCATGTAGAATTCTTTCAATCTCCAGACCCAGCTCATCTTTATCGACAATGAGGAGAGAGGCAACTGCATCCACTATACCGGATGCCATATCTCTTACAGTATCTTCAATGAATCGCCTGACTGCGGATTCTTTCTTTGCGTCGATTGTGTGCAGGATCATACCTGTCGTCTCTGTACTCCACAGTTGGAAACTCCGACAGGACTCAACGTCAAAATTGGCAACTGGATATCTGTCTTGATTGCAAGTCATTTTAGTAAAATATTTCAACGTAAACATGTAATAAGCCCTATTGACCTACCTTGTCTCATATGCTCATTCAAGACTTGAATGGCTCCAGATAGCTCTGATCCTGTCCAAAGGTATCGACCGAATACTTCTGCGGTGAGAATTTCCCACAGGTACGCTTGAATAACGCTCGAGCTTCTGCTTTCAGACTTGAATTGGGCGTTCTGTACCGTCGTGTCATGGATAACACGGCCTAGGTACTCCAAGAATCTAGATCCTCGGGGTTCGTGGACTGAAGCCTGAGATCCTATCTTGCCCTCGAAATATTGGATCGCAATATTTCGAATGTTATATCGTAGTCTGGTGGCCATTTCCACAAGGTGCTGATCTGTCACTTCATGTAATCCTCTCTTCTGTGACATCTTGAGTCTGTTCAGCTCCTTAGCTGTCTGCTTCCAGCGTTTACGCATATCAGCGAGATCGGCGTCTCTCCGCTCCAGCTCGGCTTTCAAAGACTCCAGGGTGATTTCCATTCCATCCAATCTAATCTCTAATGTTGCACTTTCTCGTGTTTTAATAGCTGGCCTCTGATCCCATGTTTGGCCCACGCTAGTTAGGTCGAGTTCGGCCGAGGATTCGGATTGATGAACAGAATTGGTTTCAGTGGTGGACTGCAAACGTTTTGTTGGAGGTTAGCAAAGCCCATCGATCTCAAGAGTTATCAGTTCCTTCTGTTCGTTCCGATGAAAAACAATGTGTAGTAGAATTTACAGATCTTGATGATTTTCGACTCCTCCATGCAAATGAGGGACGTCTGGACGTCTCTGTATCGAAGAAATCATGGTGCTGAAAGTTGTCACGGCCGGGAAGCTCGCTCTGTGATGTCGATCGTTCACCATCACGTGGCCATGTCCGGCGAGTTTGCGGTCGGCCAGATGAGCTGTAAGCATTTAAACCTTTTTCTGCCATGATGAAAAAAGGCTGGGGCAAAGATGCGAGTTTTCCCGTTGACTTGGATAAGAGCTTTGTAGTGTTGAGAGAGAAGAATATTAGGTGTGATCTCGCCTTTGTAGTTTTCAAGAAGTATAGGTGTCAGTTTCATTCTGCCCGAGGTAATGGCAGCTAATGGGTCAGGAAGGAGCTGCAGCTCGGCCCAAGTTTAGATAAGCTGGCTCTCCTTGAACCAACGGCGGCGGATTATCATTCGGCGGGGGTAGAACGAACCAAGATGACCCCGGGATACTATTGGGTATGTCGGTTGATTAGCTTGATCAGCCCGGCCTGCTGGTGCGAACATGCTCACTTCTTTGAATGAAGTTGGTGTGGCGCTCCTTGCATGCATTACGAGGCAAACTCAAGCGGGTGGGCCACCATTGGACTGGGCACAGTTACACAAAAAGCCCCGAATCCGAGTGGGCTCTCTCTTTCATTGTGCTCTCGGCATCCTGATTGATCAGTTGGGAGTCGCCAAGCACCAAGTGACCCGGCTGCAGGTCAGCTCCTGTTCACCGAACCTTTTTGTGGTGTGATGAAGCAGGCTCAACGGCGCTTGGGCGCGGTTTGTCAGCGAACAACTCCTATACGTTGCCTGACAAGTTTGATCCTACAGCACCGGGATGAACGATGCTCGTTAAGTGTATCAGGGTTTCCCATACTAAAAGGTGCCGCGTACAACTCTGCATCTCAAAACTCAGAGTCTGTAGAATGAACAGGTCAAGGAAGTCGTGCACTCGAGTATTTCTAGCTGCGACCTTGCTGGGACAGTCAGAATTAGGCAGGCTAGAGCTTCTTTGAGGCAAACGGGAACTACCACCGGCATCGTCTCGTGCCGGAGCGCTGAGAAGGGGGTAATGCAGGGTTCACGACATATCGATTCAGATGAGAGCCTGGCCAAGAACCAATACGTACAACCTGGCAGCCTGCTGCCTACATCGGTGATTTTTTCAGAATCCAAACGACGCCCAGTACCTTAATTAAAGAACATCGACCGGTTCCAGCAGTAAAAAGGGCGTAGTTACAGTGTAATGATATAAGTAGTTGTCCATAACGGCATCCGCCAGAGACAATACATGTTGGATTCAACCATCAATAGTAATCCATGCACCAAATTATGTACTTCGGTAGCGGTGTTCATGATGGAGGTAATCTGGTACACTTTGGTAGTTGTGAGATAGATCAGAACGGTGGTCAGCCTGAAATGTAGGCGCCCGCCCCCAATGAATCTCTTTAGCACAGCCTGCCTTGATAGACACATCTATCTTCTGAGTACTCGCCAGCAGGCCGCCAACGTATACTGAACGGTCCTCTCTGTCGGCCATAAAAGGCAGCAAAGTTTCCACAATGACCAGCCTCGAGTGTGACTCATTGGACACCAACCTGCATCTGGGCCTTTTACTTACTACCCTTCACGTGTTCCACACAATTCATCGGAAAAACATTACATCTGATTATGCGACCCGCGTACAATGCCCAAGTCCCGGTTAGTCTTTATTGAAACATTCCATCTAAGGAACGCAAGCTCACGGAAGGCAGAGGAGGGTATCGAATGGTGAGGAAGATGATGATTTACTTGTCATTGGTATTGACTTCGGAACGACGTATGTAAATTTGATCTCTTTCCTCTTACGACCCAGAACTTGGAAGCATGATATTAAACGAAGTGATTCTTACTTAGTTACTCTGGAGTAGCCTGGGCTACGACTGAAGAATTCGAAAACGACCACATTAACATCATCACCACCTGGCCTGGTAAGGGTCTCGAAGAAGGCAAAGCTCCAACAGAGCTTTACTATGACGGCGATATGATGATGTGGGGATACAACATCCCTGATGATGCAGATCCGATTCGTTGGTTCAAGCTTCTACTCCTCAAAGATGAGGACCTTGGCCCTGAATTGTGCGCATCTGAGTTCATTTTGCGAGGCAAGAGAATGCTGAAAGACTCTGGAAAGACTGCCATTACGCTCGTAGCGGATTTTCTGCGGGTGCTCTTCAATCACGCGATGTATACCATCACTAAGTCGAGAGGAGAAGAAGTCGTTGACGCCATGAGGCTGCACATAGTCATCACAGTACCTGCAATCTGGAAGGGTTATGCAAGACAGGCAATGGAGACAGCCGCGGAGCAGGCGGGAATTCTCAGTACACGGGTAGCGGGAAAGACTAGACTGACTTTGGCACCTGAGCCCGAAGCCGCAGCTTTATCAACTTTGAGCGAGCCAGGTAGAAGGGTGGGCAAGAACGATGTGTACATAATTTGCGATGCCGGTGGTGGTACGGTGGTAAGTGTAAACCCTCTTCGAGCTTCAAGGTCTTGTACCGTCTGTGTTTGATGTATCTGATTATCATCAGGATCTCATCAGCTACCAAATCGATCAAACGAAACCCATATTGATGCACGAAGCAGTAGAAGGAACAGGTAACATTACCCATTTGGCTGAGATTGAATGACCGAAAGACAAGCTGACAACTCCTATTCACTAGGCAGCCTTTGCGGCGGTATCTTTATTGATGAAGCTTTTGAGAGAGCATGCAAAGCTCGCCTAAGCAAAAGATGGAACCATTTAACTGGTACTGGAAAGAAGAGAATCATAAGAAATGAATGGGAGGCACTCATCAAACCAACATTTGTGCCCGCTCGGACGCATCAAGACTATATCGTTGAAATACCAGCCGAAGCTTTCAGCGAGTCTGGTCTCAACGACTTCTGCAAGGAGCCAATCATCAAGAACGGAAGGATCCATTTCAAGGAGTAAGTGAACCAAATCTTGAATGTCGTCTTTATCCATTAGCTGACTGTAAGCGTAGAACTCACATTCAGAGCACCTTCATAGACTCTTTAAAAGGGATTGATAAGCTGCTCGCGGAGCAGACTAGAATGGCGGCAAGGTCTGGCTTGACAATTACCGTAAGCCAAGAACAGCATTTCCATCGCAACAAATTCGAATCACTGACCTGTGCTTCCCCATGTAGGGCATCATTCTTGTCGGAGGATTAGGCGCCAGTCCGTACTTGTATGAACATCTCAAGAAGCAGCATGGAATGAAAGTCTTGCAGTCGGGGGGTATACAACCGTAAGTGACTATCTATTGGTTCAAATGTAGTAGTTTTCAAGAATGGGGCACCCATGGCTGATCTTGTGCAAAGACGAACCGCAATCTGCAGAGGAGCAGTTCATAAGGGATTCTTGGATGGCCACCGAGCTGAAGATCAGACCCTTGTTAGGCGGCCTGACCATAGACTTAAGGTACCTATTCAAGTGACCTCAACAGTGTCAAGGTCAAGCTATGGGGTTACTTACCGAGCGGAGTTTGATCGGCATAAGCACCTCCAAGAAGACAGAGAGTTCGATGTCTATTTGGGGGTTTGGAGGGCCAAGAATCAAATGCACTGGTACCTGAGAAGAGCAAGTTGTCCCCGTATTTCGACCTGGCGGAACACTGGAATTAACGCTTTAAACTTCTTCATAGGGCGATATTGTTTCTCAGAAGAGACCAGTACGATTCTCCTATTACGAGATTTACAAAGAAGACGTCGGAGGCCGGTTTTCTGTTGGCATCTGCGAATGCGATGCGGCGGAGGTGCCGGATCGGTGCACATTTCAGGTCAATGACCTTTGCTACATTGATTGCAAGCTCGACGTTCCATTTTCGAAATTGCCTGACATCATGACCATCGACGGTACGATGGCAAAGAAGATGACTTATGTGGTGGAGATGATTCCATCGGGGGCGTCTGTGGAGTTTGCTGTCTACATTGATGGTAGAAAACAAGGTAGTCATAACGCCAGCGTCAGGTTTGAGTGATATTCGTCTTTCCACTATTGTAAAATCTCCCTGCTTGGATATTTCTCACTTCTAGTATTTTCTCATGTAAGGTTAGTCTTCACAATGCGCACACATTGTTATCATTAAAAGTTCATTTACTTCATTATCATGCAAAAGAGTGCCCGTAAAACGCCCCAGACGCCTTACCAATCAACTAATTACAACTTTGACTTGATAGCAACCCTCTTTGGTGATGAAACAGCTGTCTTCTCGCTCACTTGTGCCTGACGCAGTGGTTCCTTCATCACAGCTGCCTCAAACCTCCTTCCAAAGTACTCAATCTCCACGACGTCGCCCTCTTTCACACCGCTGGGTAAATACGTATAGGCAATAGGCTTCCCGATTGTGTAGCCAAACGCGGCGTTCGTGACATACCCGACGGCTTTGCCATCAAGGAACACGGGCTCCTTTCCAAGGACAACAGAGCTCCCGTCGTTGATTGTAAGACAGCGGAGTTGCTTGTTGATCTTGGTATTTGCAAGGCGCTTGATAGCCGCATGGCCGACGTACCCTTCCTTGTTAAGATCAACGGCAAAGTCAAGGCCGGCCTCGAAGGGGTTGTGCTCAGTAGTTACATCCGCGCCATACGTCCTGAATCCCGTTTCCAGGCGCAGAGCACTAAAGGCGCTGCGGCCTGCAGCGATGACTCCATGGGGCTGACCCGCCTTCCAAAGAGCATCCCACAGACACAGACCGTTCTCTGCACTGGTGTAAATCTCCCAGCCGGGTTCACCAACAAATGATAGGCTCACGACAGTAACTGGGAGACCAGCGATGATGGCTGTCTTGACCTGCGACTGAGGCATGTCTTTGAGGTTGTCTGAGCTAATACCTGTGATAATGTCGGCGGCGCGGGGTCCCCAGAGACCTATTCCACTCGTACCTCCAGTGATCTCACGGACCTGGACGAATTGCGCTGGCGACGTCTTGACTTGGAGACGAGCCTCTCGTTCCAAGTAAGCGAGATCAACGGGGCCATTGACGGCAAGCTGGAATAGGTCGTCGCGAAGCCTGGCAACAAAGATATCGCTCAGAACACTGCCTTCATTGTCAAGAAGAAGGGTAAACGTGACATTTCCCGGCGCTTTATCGACATTGCTCGTGGATAGCCGCTGGAGAAGCTTGGCTGATCCGGGACCCGAAACTTCCAACCGGCGGATCGGCGTAAGATCGTACATCGCGGCCGCTGTCCGCGTCTTCCAGGCTTCCGCAGCAGCAATGTCGGAGTAGTACCTCGCCGACCAAGTATCGCGCTTCTTTGGCTTCCACTTGTCAGGCAACTGGCTGACAAGCCCCGCGTTGGCCTCGAACCACTGCGGGCGCTCCCATCCCCCTGCCTCAAGGAAGTAAGCTCCGAGTTCCTTCTGGCGGGGGTGAAACGGGCTGACGCGGAGGTTGCGCGGTGACTCGCGCGGCTGAAGAGGGTGCAAGATGTCATAGACTTCGACAAAGTTCTGCGTAGAGACCTCCCTGACGTACTCGGGCGCGAGTTGAACCTGTTCAAAGCGAGAGATGTCGCACTCTCCGAGATCGACCTCGGACTTCCCGGTTGTTAGAAGCTGAGCTACTGCGCGAGCGACGCCGGCGGAATGTGTCACCCAGACTGCTTCCGCAACGAAGAACCCTTCCAGATTGGGCGCTCTGCCGACGAGGGGACCACCATCCGGGGTGAAAGACATAATGCCGTTGAAGCCGTATTCGATCTCGCTTTCAGCGAGGGCAGGGAGGAGCTTCTTGGTGAGTTCCCATGCCGGCTTGAAATCATCGGGAGTGAAGTCTAGGCGCGATGGCATGTTGTGCTCATCGACGTGCTTGGGCGTCTCGCCAAGCGAGGCAGCGACCACGGGGAGGGGACGGTGACCGTAGTAGCCAATGCCATACTGTTCACCATGTTCGCGGTAGTAAAGATCCCGATCCTGGTGGCGAAGAATGGGTAGTTGAGCCCCGTTCGCCTCAAGCTTCTTCCCCTTCTGCACTAATACGGGGGTTGTCTTTGCGTACTGGTGGCCGACTGGCAATAGTGGAATCGGCAGGTCGATCATGGCACCGACCTCGACACCCCACAAGCCGGCACATGCGATGACGAGATCGGCGGGAATCGTACCGTTCTTCGTCTCGACGCCTATGACTCGGCCCTGGCTCCGCGCGATGCCCGTGACCGGGGTGTGCTCGAGATAACGGACACCGGATTTCCGGGTACGCTCGATAAGCACCTGAACTGCACGGGCAGCCAATGCAAGGCCATCGGTCGGAATGTGCAGGCCGCCGAGGACCACCTCTGTGCTGATAAGGGGGTAGATCTTCTTGACCTCGTCGGCGGTGAGCAGATGGGCCTCGATACCCCAGGAGGAGGCATAACCATGTTTCCTCTTGAGTTCCTCGAGTCTCTCTGGTGTTTCTGCCACTTCGAGGCCGCCGACTTGGTTGAAGCATTCTATTGAGAGCAACTTTTGTACCGTATATTTTGCAAAGGAGCTCATAGTCTTGGAACCGGTGGTTTGGAATACGAGACCAGGGGCATGAGATGTTGAGCCCCCCGGCATGGCCAGCGGCCCCTGTTCGACCACTGTGATGTTGGTCCACCCCCGCGAGACCAGCTCATCAGCGATGTTAGTACCGACGATGCCGGCCCCGATAATGACGACGCGTTGTGAGGGATCCATGATGTGTGTGTGTTTGTGTGTGTGTGTGTATGTGTATGAGTCCTTCTTGTCTCACGACAAGGGAAAGGAGACGTGAATAATAATGATGTATTACGGATATGAAAGAACCCTTCTGGTGATAACCCCTCAAGATGATAGCATCGTGTACAGATGCAAGACGGTTTATAAGTCACCCATGCCCGTCTGCGATACCCCAATTCAGTCTAGCACCATCGTAGGTGTGGAGAACCTGGAGAACAGACATGGAGCTTGCTATAGATAGCAGCACCGTAGATGGTGGCCCGGAGAGCCCAAGACGGCGGTCACCTGATCGGTTTCTTGAAGCCGATGCCGCCCGCGTTGGCCGATGCGCGTGGCCCCCAAAGGAACCCAAACACACTTCATACCTTCATGATATTGATCCATCAACACCACGTTCGCAAAGGCTTATCGCCACATAGACTCACTTGCGCTTGATTCGGTCATGGTATGGTCACCTTTGCAACCAGAGGTAGATAGCGGGCGCAACCAGCCTGTTGCGCTTGCACTTGGAACTTGGCCTCTTGCCAACATTCACTATCGTTTTGCTATACCAAACCCCCTAGGGTTGGACGAGCGAGGCCGGCTCATACCAGCCGGGGGAGGGGTGCCTCGTGCGCTCTGCTCCGAACTCGGCCAATGCGCCGGTGCCCTTCAACCCCAGCCACCGTAACCATCGGGTGTTTGGCCTTATCTGTGTCATCATGATCGTGATCTGTCTGGTGCTCTTTATGGATCATCGCGAGGAAGATAACGTTTCGAAAGCTGGAAGGAAGATGAGTCTTTGATGCTCCATCTACTGTTGGGCATCAACCGGTTTACGACCAGGCTCCGACGTCAGACAGCACCCCCCTCCTCCATCGCCTTCCATCATCATATGATACAACTTATGATTGTTCGCGCATTCTCCTTCACCATAACTATTGTGCAATCGATGTGATTTAGACGTGCAGCCAAGTCCGGATGCGCAGTCCAGCCCGTCTCAATCGCCTCTTTCACTGTGCTTCCAAAGTTGCCGATAACCACAATCTCTCTAGGCAAGGTGCCGTTCATCCAATTCCCGACTATTGAGATGCCAGAGTCTGCTATAGGCAAGTGTCGGTGAGCGTCTGGCCAAACGGCCGCGGGGGATTCGTCCGAAAAGTCGATGGACTATTATCATGATAGGACTCGATATTAGCATCGCATTGGTTCCCACCAAGTCGGGCTCTCGTCGAAACGAGCCAAAACACCACGGCACAACTTCCAGGGATCCCATCACCGCGTGACTGGGAGGGGTAGAAACTTTTCCTGTAGTCGTTGTGACCCCGAATTTCTCGTCGCCTTTATGTGGTTATCAGCAGCACCCGCCTCACGTTGAAAGTCACAACCTTGTCGTTTGCCCACCGCACTTGGCGTTACGGATCGTGCGCTGGTAAGTAGGTTAACGGCAGTGGGATGTTTGGCGCACCAAGGCTGACTGACGTTCGGAGCGTCTTGCCCGCTTGAGTCATGCTATCGCAGCTCTGTTCTTATGCGATGTGGGGATAACAAATGAGCAGAACTACGTGTCCTAAAGTACCCTAGCGATTGTCAAGAGCGGATTATTCGAACTCAGAAGAAGATCATCATTGCCCCTTTTGGCGCTTCATTGCCAGCCTGGATGGCAAGTGCTTTGCACTGGGTTCAATCGCAGTGACCATGGAGTGAGAAGCGGCCCATGGCAGTCGGCATCCGGCTTCCACAAGACAGGGGGTACCGCCTCTCAGAAACGGTAAGGCTATGAATGCTACTGTGCGTCAAAAACGGTTTGGCTCAAGACCCTGATTCTTGGCATGTGTGGCAAAGGGAAAGCAAGGCGCTTGAGGGAGGGGTGAAGAAGACCAGCCGTTGGGAGAAGACGAACACCTCTGCGAGTCTCTATATTCTCCCTGCCGAATAATAATCCAGACGGGCGGCGGACTTATGCCTAACGGCAAAGTCAAATGAGCGAATGTGTGCCCTGTCATTCCCAACTGGACTCGTAAGGGTTGGCGTGTTCGCGGCCAAGGAGACTGACCCATCGAGCAGTCTAGAACGACCTTGGTCGAACAAGACAGGATCTACCTATCACTCCGAAGCCTTTTCTAACCGCTCTGCAACCCCAACGACCCAGGCTACCCGGCTACCCCATCCGTGACACCCCCGATTTGCCTTCATAAAATAATTCCGTCTAAAACGAGAGCTTGATCCCTGCCTCCTCCCCCGCATGATCCACCACATTGGGGGCTCACCAAAGAAGCGCCGTTCCAAGTTCGTAAGCCGCCTGGCGCCGCGTCTGCATGGGCTGCGAGTTTCTCCTCGGTGACTTCCCCGAGGTGGTTCATGTTACCTAACAGTTATCCCATCGTGGCATCTTGCTTGGCGTTTTGATGCCCTCGTGTCACCGTGTCAGTCCGGTGACGGATCCCGACGGTAAACGTCAAAGACGAATCAATGAATCGAGCATCGTGTGCCACCTTGCTTTGCGTCTCTGAATTCATGCCATCAAGGGTCTGAAATGAAGTCTTGGTCACAACATGACAATACCTTACCATGCTGCTCAAAGAGGTCTATCATGGCAGCTCAACTTTGTAACTAAACATTGGAGCGGCTATTTGACGCACAAAGAAGACACAAGACATGAAGTCAACGAGGTAATCTATACGTGCTTACCACTGGGTAAAACCGGCATTATGTAGCGAAAATTTCTTCATTGCTAAAATTGATTAAACATGATATTGTTGAAGTTTTCCCCTTCCCACCATGCATTTCCTGGTTCCGATTGCGGGTAACTCATATCCCCAATGCCCACGAGCTGCGAGGGGTCCGCGTATAACCATGGTGTTGTGTTGAAGGTTAGGCTATCAATCTGCTCGACGGTCGGCGGGTCAAACACTGCGGCCCGTGACGTCGACGACGATGACGATGTCGCAGTCGAACTTGCCGGATTGGAGGAAACGTTGTGCGTCCTCTTGAATGTCGACGTCGGCGCCTCTTGCCCACCGTCTGCAATGTTGATGGTGATCTCCGGAGATGTGGCGACGATGATCTCGAGGGTTGAGCTGTCGCTAGTATCAACAGGTGGTACAGCAGGTGTGAGTGATGCGTCCAGGAGGCCGGCGGTTGGGATTTCCTGAGAGTCTGTTGTAGAGTTGAATTGAAGGATCTCCCACATCAAGGGGACGCTGAGGTAGATTTTAGACGGCATCCAGTCTTCTACGTCCATATTCTCGGTTCCTGCAGCAATGCGGGTCATCCTGTCGAGGTTACGGTCCTAGGTGTCATGGTCAACCATAAAGAACTTCTTGCGTGACTGGTTTTCAACTCACCAATGCACCACAGGCTGCGGAACAGGGGATGAAGCTCTTTAAGAATCTCCTGCACTTAGCAAAGTCCGTATTAGATTTGTGCTTTAACCTCGCCGCCGCCGCGCAGCAGTAGTAAAGGTGAACCGTTGCAGCAATGGCAGCGACATGCCCAAAGAAAGGGTCTACCAGCGGCACCTGCTTGTCGACAACCATGTCAATCATCCGGACAATCCAAGTGGCGTGGAGCAGTGCTTGTTCTGAAGACCTCCTCCAGAATGTGTTTGGGATACCGAGGTTTGGGTTATGCTGGGCTCCAACGATGTAGAGAAACGGATGATTCAGGACTGTGGGTATCGCATGGTAAGTGAATTGCTCCTTCAACCATGGTGCCCAGTAGTCCCGGTTCACCTTGAGTTCGTCGATTTTTCGTTCGTAGAACTTGACAGAGTCATAACGGTGGCACATGGGTATCCTGTTTTCCGTCTCCATGAAGTCTGAGAGGACTTTGGCGTAGGTAGAGTCATTCCGCCATGGTTCCTTGAGGATGTTTCGTGAGCAATCCGAGACATATTTCCTGACCTGGCTCCAAACCCATCCCAGGCAGACACTCGTGTTCCAGATGCCCGTCTCGCCAGGGGAAGAGGTCCCGAGATCATCTCGGGGTAGTGGTGGCGCCTTGCACGAGTCCTGCTCCGACTGATTACTGCTTGACGGAAGAGTAGGCCTGCGCACGTCATTGGGAAAGCTCAATAACCCATCCTGGCGGCCGTAGGACTGCTCCAGCAACTGGAGGCTCCAGAAAAGTCTTTTCTTTCGGTCTGTTGTGGAATTATCCACCGCATAGACAGATTCTATATCAAGCATGGCTGACCGACACAGCTGAAGCGAAAGGCCGAGGTGGAATTGGCCCAGGTGCACATTGCCGTCTGTGAGATCAGTTTCCCATTTCAATTACATCACGACGACGCTCTGCGCTGAGGTACTTACCTATGAAAGAGGCGTAAGACAGAAGACATAAACTCTCTATTGTCGTGATGTCCACGGTGCCATTGGCGATTCGAAGCATGATGAGTGTCTTTGCGTTACTGCTAAAGAGCTGCATGTGATCGCGTTGCTCAGAGAACCGCGATGTCAGCGCTAGGATACTGCTGGCGAGCTCTTCTGGCAAAGAGTCGTAGTCGCCGACTTCGTCTCTCTCAAAACACCAAATCGGCTGTCGATGGCAGTACTTGAAGTAGAGATTAATGCCCGTCGCCATGTCATCTGGGTCAAAGACGACAGAATTGCTGTTGTCGGTCGGGTAGTCCTGCCGGTTCCTCCGAGATGGCGGCGTTGCCGAAAATGACTTTTCCGACGCATCGGTGACTTCCTCGAACGTTGCCTGTTGTTGTGTTTGTGGTTGTCCTTGACGAGCGTGGTGGTTCGGTCTAAGAACCCGGTCAGATGGTCTGAACGAAGCATGTTCGCGTGCGGTGTCGTATTACAAGCCCCCTCCACTAAGGAGGAGATCCAGTTTCTCTTCCAAAGTTTGCAGTCTCTCATCCTATCGGTGGTAAGGCGTCTGATATCAGTAGGGGCAAGAGTACTTATGGCATGCGTACCGATCTTCCGCTTTGCGAAGGTCTCACCACAGGGTAAGAGCATGACTGAGACAACCGTACGCAACTCGAGCACGCCGGCTTCTCACCCGGGCACCGCGTCTTTTTCCTCCTGTACGGCGCGAACAAGCGTCAGCGAACAATCCCTAACACGAGAAGAAACGAATTCCTGCTGGAAAAAAGCGGCAGACCTGCAAGTGAGACAGGCATGATGTGAGCGTCTTCTCCCCCTCAAGCTGGCCGAACTGATGGAGCCCTCCTCTGGCGGCATGTCATTGACGAATCTCACGGCCCTAGGAAGAAGACACGAGCAGCACTGCAAAGGGGGCCCGGAAGCGTACATGCCTCCACTAAATACTTTCAAAATTATAAACACCCCTTGCCACGAACCCCGCACCGTACGGACTAAACCGATGAGGGGCGCCCCGTCACCGTGCATCCCCCTCCTAGTCTAACCCCCCCTAGGTAAGACAGCCCCTCGATAAGGGACGGAAAGCATAAACCATGGCAGTCAGAAGAGATAAGAAGGACCGCTTAAGGCTATATCCTTGTCACGTGGATTGTCTACCGAAGAATTCGCTGACAATTCGGGAAGCCGACCATCCGAGATCGACAACTCCATCATGATCTTCAACGTCCATCATCAAGCTACCAAGGTAGAAGCCATAGGTGAACTAGATTCACTAGCACACTATCTTTTGACGTAGTGAATCCAACTCAGTCGAAGCGCTTTTCATCCTAGACTAATGAGGTCTTTGTTCGGTCGTTTGGTCGACGTCTTCATCAATTAGTACTTGGTTGTAGGGGTAAGGTACCGTATTTGTGTTACACGGCAGAGCCCAAAGTTGATAACGGTTTGGAAATCCCACGGTAAATTTTGAGTGATGTCTGGCATCAGAAAGAAATGGAATCTCCGACTTCGGTGAAAGAGGGGAAAAAAGAATGATGGAATTTCACCTTCCTACCGCGCGGAGAACCTGAGAGCTCGTTAGCATGCAGACTGACAATGCGACACTACTGACAGGTTGTCTCTGCTTCAGCCACGACAACATGTTCTCGGCATGTAATTATTGCGCCTAACTAAGAACCAGCCTATCATGAATCATCGTGTCTCCGGCCTTTTGTGCACACGGTGATGTGGAGAGTGGGAACCAATGACCTTTCATAAAACCTTGGATTACCAAGTCAACTCCACTAAGCATGTATGTACGCCGTTGATCTATGCCGATGCAACTACATATGAAACCAAATTGCCTCACATATCACAACCTTGCTACCGGGTCCACAAGGTCGGTTAATTCAGAGTTGGGATACTCTGGGTTCTGGAGATGATCCGGGCGCTCACGGTCCCACGCCCATCTCGTCTTGAGCTCTGGCGACAACGAGTCTTCGAGCATCTGGATCACATACTTGCCAAGCACAGGGAAGAACTTGAAGCCGTGGAAGGAGCCACACGTGGCGAGATACAGACCCTTGGCCGCCGAGTGCGGAGAGATGATGAAGTCGGAGCTAGTTGTGAAGGCATCCCTAAACGCACAGTTAGCACGTTGCTTTGAAATCTTAAACATGGCTTGATCATCATTAACAATCCACTTACCAGCAGATCCGGTGCTTGGTCATCTTCCAGTTTGCGCTCTTCTTCCCATACCACAGATTACGCTGCTCAGCGATATCTTCCTTGAGCTGCCGGGACACCTTCCACTGACTGTAATCTTGTGCCGGTGGAGGCGCTGAGACGTGGCGACCAGGCAGGATTTCTTTGGTGTTTGAGAAGATCTTGGATCCCCACCACTTGAGTTCTCTGTCCTTCGTTGGCGGAATGCTTCCGATAAAGGGCTTTCCTGTTTCGATTGTGAGTTATTTTTCGCGCCTAATCGCAATGCGGAAGGAAATAGAAGGTGCGGCGTCGTTGACAAAGACAAAAATAGAGAGAGAAAACATACCATGTCCTGTGTAACCCTGGAACCCGACGGGCATGTCGGCATACTTCTTGTACTCCTCTTCGTCAAGCTCCGCCATGCCAGTGGTAATTCCAGCAGCCAGAATGCGGTCACCGGCTCGGAGGTTGCTTAGGCCGCTCTTTGCGGCACTCAACTCCAGCAACTTTGGCGTGTAAGCTCCCGTGGAGAGAATAGTGTGTTCCGCGGTCAGAATTTCTCCCGTAGTCGTCTTGATACCTGTGCAGTTGCCACGCCGGTCAAATTCCAGAGAAGCAGTCTCAGCCGTCACATACTTGACGCCTAATTTGATAGATTCGCGAGTGACAGCTCTTAAGCAGTCGCCAGCAGCCGCCCATCCGCTCGCACGGTTGACGAGAACTTCTTTGGCGCCAGAGTAGTCAGCGTCTTCGAAAAGACCATTATACAATTTCCGAGCTTCAGAGATGGGCAGAGCAATAATATCGTCTTTGCGGCCGAGCTTCTTGTGATGGTCTATGACATTCTGGGCGTAGTCGCTTCGGCAGATCCAGTAAACACCCGTTTGGTGGAAATAGGGCTGCCAGAGAGGGTCGTTCTTGAAAGTGTCTTGGGCCTCCAGGGCTAGCTGACAGTAGGTAAAGTCGTCGTAGTCGGCGCGGACCACCTTATTCCAATCCCATGAGGCGGCCACGCGCTCATCGGCGTCGAATGCATCCTTGTCGACCAGGGTCACGGATGCATCAGGGTACTTCTTGATAAGGTGATAGGCGGTAGACACACCAAACACACCAGCGCCAACAATGAGATAGGAGGGTTTGCTCTGGTCCATTTTGTTGAAAAAGTAGAATGACATGGATCGGCAGGAGAGGGGGGGAAGAACTTGGTCAAAAAGGGACTCTTGCAGCCAAGCAGAGTAGAGATCTCTTTCGACTATGGAGGTTCCCAAGACGGCACAGAGAGACGGAAACAAATAAGTCGAGTGTTACCTTGAATACCTTGCATCGTCACTTTCACGGAGCGAGAAGACGGTTTACTTATCGGTGACCCGTGTGAACTCCCCCGCCTCCAAGAGCGGAAGGGGTCCCGATGTCGGCTGGGATTCCGAATGCCGATCACGTGACGAAATGAGGTATCCGGGGACCGGCTTTCTTTGAGTGGTGTATCCCTCTCTATCTTTCAAAAAAAAGAAAAAAAAAAAAACATGAGCATCATTAGATCGTGATATTCGCGTTCTTGAATAGAAACACTGCAATGCAAGTTTATCTTGTCGGTCAAAGACAGAGACAGGGCATTGGCTGACATTTTGAGTTGCTTCGGTTGGATATTCCATACCCCATGGGCAAACACCAGGGATGCCCCCGGATGAATCGCGATAAGGCCCTGGGACCCAGTGTAAGCAGAGCAATGATCCTTACCAGACTCTCCTTGACTTAGTCGTCTTCTCCATAAACAGCAGATACGGTCAACACCATCACGATAGATACGGGAATCCTCGGTGTGCCTGTATGTTATGACCTGACCAGGTGGTTGACTCGTTGACAGCTGTACCCTACATCGCAGATCAGTCATCTAGTGCAAAGTGCCGGTCTGGTACCGAGCGTGACAGGCACTTGAAGTTGATGCACGGCGTCCAACACACCAAGGGTATCCGGACTAGTGTGCCGACGGCGTCACGTACGCCGAGCCGCCACAAATGGTACGAGAGGAGTGCAGGGTGCAGCGAATGGGACGAACACAGTGCTACGTTGACGCCAATGGAGCCAAAGGCATTACGTTGTTGACATCGAGGATGAGCAGCGGCTGGAAAACGACGTGTAACCATCGGGTGCCAATGGAGTCAAAACCGCCTGGGCGTTCACGAGGCGGGGACTGGGGGGACTACCCAATGAAGAATGCACAGTGAAAAGTTTCCAGATTGGGAAAGGATACTCGTTAGTGGCAGATATGTGACAGATACTGACTCCACTGACCGGGGGAGCTTCTGAGGGGACTGACTGGTCGAAGCTGTGATAAGCAGGGATGATCAACCTTAAGTCTGTGTGTAGAGATGGACCGGATCTTCATGGAAGGATGTCCAGCTCAAAACACGGCTTTGAAAAGTCTAGACTCCTGGGGGTGGGTGCTGCATCAAGTGATACACCATGATGAATCCTATCTACACTGCCCTCAAGGGCCCCCAGCTTACCCAGGACCTCTACCATCACAGCGCGGCTCGGTCCGTATATCCCACCCCATGGTGTTTGGAGTACGAGTCGGTCCGCGTGAGATGTGTTTGCCGGTCATGTGATCGGTATTCACGACCGCATCAACAGCCACCTGATGGCTATGGGTGTCCGGAATTGTCAGAGGCGTTCGGTGTGCGACATCGAGCACCGGCCGGCCCAAACGATGGTTTCCAGTCCAGGAGATAGGAAAGGGCGAAACACGGACTCAGTCTACCGGCCAGGGCTTACCATGGCTATATAGAAGGACTGCCATCTCAGGTCATAGAGTTGTAGATAAGCCAAATCAGACCACAATCATCAGACTACAACTACCGAGCATCAGCTCCAGTTCCCCAGCTCTCATCGTTTCCAACGAGCTATCATCTTACATAGAATTGCGGGTTTAGCAATGTCACTTTTCAAGAACTACTTTGGCCTCGGCGGCTCCAAGCCTGCTGCCCAGGATGAGAAAACCCCTGTCAGAGCCCTTCCTGCCTCCTGGTACACCTCTCAAGAGATGTACGAGCTTGAACGTCGTGCCATCTTCTCCAGAAAATGGCTCCTCACTACGCACAGGGCCAGAATCCCCAATCCTGGTGACTGGGTCCGCTACGATGTTGCCGGCTACCAATTCATCATTGTCCAAGACCGAAAAGGAAACATCAACGCCATGCACAACATTTGCCGGCATCGAGCGTTCCCCGTTGTGACCAAGGAAGAGGGAAACAGCTACGTCTTTTCCTGCAAGTACCATGGCTGGTCCTACGGTCTGGCGGGTAACTTGGCCAAGGCTCCTGGCTACCAGGAGCTTGCGGGCTTCGACAAGTCTCAGAACAACCTGTTCCCCATTCACGTTCACGTCGACCGCAATGGCTTTATCTGGGTCAACCTTGATGCTGCCGAGACGCCCGAGATTGCGTGGAACGATGACTTCCTCGGCATCGATGAGCAGGAGAGATTCGAGCATTACAACTTTGAGGACTACGTCTTTGACCACCACTGGGAGATGGAGGGAGAGTGGAACTGGAAGATCCTGGCCGACAACTACAATGAGTGCTACCACTGCCCGACTGCCCACCCAGATATT